GAATTAAATTGAACAGAAAATAGATGATCCAATTTATAATACTTTATAAATAGAATAAGAAATATAGAATACTGTTTAAGATGATATTTCAATAGAATAATCCTAATAAAATTAGGAAGATTTAATTTTAGCCTAATAAAATCTAACTATTTAACTATCTGATGAATATTATTTTTATTTCTCAGAATGTCAAGCTTTTTAAAACGACTTCCAGTTTTAGAATTTTTAGATTTGAGTTTATTATTTATATTCAATTTTATTCTTATAAATTTTTAATACTAAATTTTTATAAAATTGAATAAAATAGGAAGCAGCAATAAAACATAGAAGAAAGAAAGAAGAGATGCATTGTATACCATGTAAAAAATAAATATAATGATGTTTTATCTATGGATATTAAAATTGCATTTATAAAATATATTAAATCAAGTTTTTTTTAATAGTTCTAGGTTTTCTTAGACTTTATCAATATGATAAAAAATAAAATATATAAATATTATAAGTTGAACTTTAAAAAAACATAATTTGTCTTTGAAAAATAATTCAATCTCTAATTTAATTGTTTTTAAATGATTAAAAGTTTTGTTATAGAAACTTTTAGGTTTAAATTTATAAAAGAAATAATTTTAATTGATAAATTTGTTAATGATAAAAAATTAGTTATTTCAATAATGATTTGATTCTCAAAGGTCTGATTTTTCAGAAAATAATTGACCAAATCTCTTTTTTTAGAAGAATAATATATATTATAGCAACTTTTTTCTATATAATTTTTCATATTTATTCAATATTTAGAGAAAATTAAATATTTGGGTTATACTAAATAACAATGTGGTTATGTTACTTTCTGTGAAAATTTCTTTATATTTTCTAAAATATTTTAAATAGATATTTTTGATTATAAAATTTATTAAATCTTATGAATATCTTAATGGATCATTTATGCACAGTTTGTATAAATTAAAAGGAGAGATGCGATGAAAATTTTAAAAAAGGTAATTTGGAAACTTGTTTGATTTGTAATAACAATTTATAAGGGTAAAATTAACAATATAGCAAAAAAAAAGTAGAAGATTTAATAAAAATGCGCCAAAGGAGCATTTGATTTATCAATTAATTAATAGATTTATACGAAACAATATATTGAGCTTTGAATGGGAGAATTGATTAATTTGCTATAAAAAAAATAGAATTTGTTATAAATTAATTTAACAAATATTTTATAAAAAAATTGGATTTTTATTAAGATGTATCAAGACAAAACGTAATGAAAAAAATAGTATCTTTATAGAATTATGTACAATCGAAAATGAAGATTTGAGTAAGATTATTCCACAAACTCATATTTTTAAGTATATAAAAATATAATTATCATTTTTTTGAGGCCCCAGGAGGGGTTCTAGGAATTTTTGGTTTAGGAGCAAATTCTTATAGATCATTATAATTAATGTTTTATTGTCCTTATCCTTGAATTAATTGCTTTTATTGATTATGAAACTATTGCACTTTTTAATAAGATTTTTTATCATTAGTATCATTATAAAAAGGAATTTCTAAAAAATAATGAAAAAAGAATTACATCCAACAGGCATTTTCTCTAATTGAGATTCTCTAATTTATTCTTATTATGCATTTCTTTATTAGACTTCTTTTAAAATGATAGAATCCATAACTAATTTTTGATTTTCAGCTTCATCTCCAACTAATTCAAAATCTTTTGATAATAATTCTTCTCCTATTATATTATCTTAAATATTTAGTTCATCTTCTTCATCATCGTCTCCAATACATTCTTCTTCTTCTTCTTCAATATCATCAACATCATTTTCTTCTTCCATTTATGATTAATCATAATCATCTTCGTCAGCTTATAACTAAGCAATCATATATTGAATCTATTTTTTGAACTTTTCATCCGAATTTTCTAATAATCTTGGTAATTCTTATGGTATTCCTAGACTATAAGCATAATCTCTAATTGTTTTTCTGCTGAACAATGAATAAAATGTGCCATTAGTGAAAGTTCTTATTTAATCATTTGGATATTCAATAAGATCATATAAGACTTCAAATGCTAATTCTTTATGCTGAATTAATTCATCCTTTCCTCTAGTACTTAATGATAAATTCATAATAAGAGCAGTAATATATTCATAAGTATATTCACTTAGATTATTTTATTCCTAATATAGTATTCTATTTTACATTCTTTAAAATTATCAATGTATGATAAATTATGTTATTTTCAAGCATAAATGTTTAACTTTGTTTTCTTAAAGACATTTTTTAGAGAGCTCCGATAGCATTTTTTCTTATAAGACTATCAGATTATTCTTTTTTAATAAGATCCACCAGAAATTTAATTAATGTTGGATTTAAAGTTAAATAGGATCTACCATGATAATCTGAAGCTAAAGCATTTAGTAATTTTAAAGTTTAACATTAAATTAAATTGTGAGATTTTAAAATTAAATATTAAGCTAATAATATATTTTTTGAGTGAGTTCCTATTATATCATGAGTTGCATAAGCAACAACCACTTATCTTCTCTATAGAGCATTTTTGGCTCTAGTAATTCTCCATCTCAAAGCCTATAAAACATTTGCTACATGCTAATAATTATTAGATTTTGTAAATAACTAAATTATTTTAGGATAGTTTAATGGAACATATTCTTCTACATGAATTGGTTTGATTGGAGTTGGTAATTCTAATTTCTTTAAATAATTATATTTACATTAATTATTAGTTATATGTGAAATCTCTTATTCAGCCATGCTAGCCTTCTCAAATAATGAAATATCTTATGATTTATTTATTAAATCTTCAAAGTCTTGATTAAGGAATTTTTCATATTATAAAAGCTTCTTTTTTAGATTTTAGATTTTCTATTAATTTTACATCGACTAATTGTTGTCTAGATATTTTTATAAATCTTTTGAAACGACCATCAATTCTTTACAAAGAGAAAACCATTTTTATTATGCTTCAGTAAAGTTTTTTTCAGCATGATTGTTCAATTCTTGATATGCTTAAACTTGTTGATTTAACTTTTGTTTAATTTCATAATTATCATTCTGTAACTTTTAAATCTAATCATTCAATCTTTTCAGCTCTTTAGAATTATCTTAATAAATATTATTATGCTANATTTTCTTCTTCCATTTATGATTAATCATAATCATCTTCGTCAGCTTATAACTAAGCAATCATATATTGAATCTATTTTTTGAACTTTTCATCCGAATTTTCTAATAATCTTGGTAATTCTTATGGTATTCCTAGACTATAAGCATAATCTCTAATTGTTTTTCTGCTGAACAATGAATAAAATGTGCCATTAGTGAAAGTTCTTATTTAATCATTTGGATATTCAATAAGATCATATAAGACTTCAAATGCTAATTCTTTATGCTGAATTAATTCATCCTTTCCTCTAGTACTTAATGATAAATTCATAATAAGAGCAGTAATATATTCATAAGTATATTCACTTAGATTATTTTATTCCTAATATAGTATTCTATTTTACATTCTTTAAAATTATCAATGTATGATAAATTATGTTATTTTCAAGCATAAATGTTTAACTTTGTTTTCTTAAAGACATTTTTTAGAGAGCTCCGATAGCATTTTTTCTTATAAGACTATCAGATTATTCTTTTTTAATAAGATCCACCAGAAATTTAATTAATGTTGGATTTAAAGTTAAATAGGATCTACCATGATAATCTGAAGCTAAAGCATTTAGTAATTTTAAAGTTTAACATTAAATTAAATTGTGAGATTTTAAAATTAAATATTAAGCTAATAATATATTTTTTGAGTGAGTTCCTATTATATCATGAGTTGCATAAGCAACAACCACTTATCTTCTCTATAGAGCATTTTTGGCTCTAGTAATTCTCCATCTCAAAGCCTATAAAACATTTGCTACATGCTAATAATTATTAGATTTTGTAAATAACTAAATTATTTTAGGATAGTTTAATGGAACATATTCTTCTACATGAATTGGTTTGATTGGAGTTGGTAATTCTAATTTCTTTAAATAATTATATTTACATTAATTATTAGTTATATGTGAAATCTCTTATTCAGCCATGCTAGCCTTCTCAAATAATGAAATATCTTATGATTTATTTATTAAATCTTCAAAGTCTTGATTAAGGAATTTTTCATATTATAAAAGCTTCTTTTTTAGATTTTAGATTTTCTATTAATTTTACATCGATTAATTGTTGTCTAGATATTTTTATAAATCTTTTGAAACGACCATCAATTCTTTACAAAGAGAAAACCATTTTTATTATGCTTCAGTAAAGTTTTTTTCAGCATGATTGTTCAATTCTTGATATGCTTAAACTTGTTGATTTAACTTTTGTTTAATTTCATAATTATCATTCTGTAACTTTTAAATCTAATCATTCAATCTTTTCAGCTCTTTAGAATTATCTTAATAAATATTATTATGCTATTGTGAATTTTCATAATTTTAAACTAGTTTTTACAAGTGAGTAATTTATTCATTTTAAAATATTGATAAAGTAAAATCTTTTAAACGTTCTTTTAAATCTTCTACCCATTAAGTAGTATAGATGAAATATATTTTTATGTACATAAATTTTTGAAATTTTTTGCATCTTCAAAGCTATTTTATCAGTTTACACAATGTTTTAAAGCTTAAATCAAAATAGTCTTAAATACAAAATTTTAAACGCATTTTTAATGATAGAATTAACTGTTTGTTTATTGTCTAATTTTTTTGATTTTAAGACTTACTTTTTAAAAGTTTTAAAGAACTTTTAATTAATAGAATAAGATTTGTGAAATATTAATAAATTTATCTGAAAAATATGTAATTTAAATGAAAATTTAATACTTAAGTACTTTAATCAATCATTTGAGTTTAATTAATAAACATAAAATTACTAATATCTACATCAATTTGATTTAGTTCTATTGAGCAAGTCCTATACAATAACTTTGTCAAAATATTTCGATTTCTGATTAAGTTCTTTTTCAAACTTTTTAGTATCCTCTTAATCAACATAAAGATCATTTCTACAAATTAGTTGAATTAATACATTTATTTAATTATTGGCCTTTGTCCATATAAGATTTGCATTTCAGGAGGTAATAGATCTAAGTTTTTCTTGAAAAATGCATTTAATTCATTATTTTATGGTAATTCTTTGATTGTTTAATATGGTTCAAAAGAAGGATAATCCAGGAGAGAAATCAGTTTTTATTTAAAATCTAGAAATATAAGTAATTTTATACCTTATCGATCCTCCAAAATGAATTTCGATATTAAATTGTACCTTTTTTCAAATGCTTTTTATAATTATTCTCTAATTTAATTTCCAATTGAAACAATATTTTCCTAACCTAATTTATTTTCATAACAATAGGTATATACAAATTCATCAATACTACTTAGTAGTATAAAATAAGTACTATTAAAAAGCATTGCCTAAATCCCATTAAATAGTCTCACTAAATTTAGATGTTTATATCTATAAATTGATCATTGTATCGTTTTTATCAATATATGATTCAAAGAGCAATATATCTGAAATATGCTTATATTTTTTATGATCTTCAATAGCTTATTTAACTTAATATAGACATTCATCAATAATTTCTAAAATAATTAAAAAATGCTTACTTTGTGCTTCCTATGCTGTAAGTTTTCCTATTTTTGTCGGGTATTTCTCTTCTAAAAGATCTGTTACAATAGAAAAGAGATTTCTGAATAATTATTCATCTGAATAATCATCTTCAAAGTCCCATAAAATAAGTTCCTCTAAAATGGTCTCTTTGTTGTTTAAAGTTGTTATTGGTATATGAAGCTTAATGGGACTTAGATTTTGAGATGAATTATGGAATCCTGGAGGGAACGGACACAATTTCATGTTGTTTTGAAATTTTTCATTATGAGGCTTAATTTTGTGAATTTTCTTTTTAATACAATCAAGTAATGTGATTGCTTCAGATAGTTAAGTGTCTTGCATTAAAACAAAAAATTAAAAATTAAATATATTTAAAATCTTTTTATAATCTCAAAAATTTTAAGATTTGCTAAAATGATTGAATAGTTTTTGCTATCGAAGTAAACATATCATTAAATACTTTATTATTAATTTTTTTTCATCAAAAAATTTCAAATAGGCTCTTTTCTAATTTGTAAATGAATTCTTGTCCATTTTCTCCTCTTTTCTTTTATCATTCCTTATTATTATTTTATAATAATAATAAGTTCAATTCTACAACAAAAATTAATTGCTACTTCCTGCATTACAAAAAAGTATAATTAGATGTCATACATAATAGTTAAATATGTATTAAGGGAGGAAAAGAAGAGGATTAAAGTTTAATGATTTTTTAATGATTGACATAATTTGTTGAATAATTTTGTTAAATTATATAAATTTGATGCCTTCTAGATCCTCAATAAATAAAAGTTAATAAGAAGGATTACAATTAATATATTAAATTAAATTATCAGTTAAATAATGTTTGAAAATAATAGTGTTAAATATGTTCCATCAGTCCCTAAAATAGTTGATCCTGAACCAATAACTTGTATAATTGAACCAAGTATTTATTTCTATTGAAAATTTTAGGTGAAGAAGAAGGAGGTCTATATTTAGGTAATTTGGAAGCAGCTAATAATGTTGATTTATTAAGAAAATTGAAAATTCGAGCAGTTTTAACAGCAAGTCAAGAGACCGCAGTCAAATACTAAGAGCATGTTGTTCATTTTCATGAAATTATTATGGCTCATGATAAAGCAGATTATGATATCATTTAACACTTTGAATAGGCTTATGAGTTTATTGATAGACATAGAAAATACACAAACGTTTTTGTACATTGCTTTGCAGGTATAAGTCGATCTGCATCTATGGTCACTGCTTACTTAATGAAAAAATATAATTTATCATTCGAAAAAGCACTTTGGAATGTAAAGGCTAAAAGAAGATAAGTACATCCTAATGTTGGGTTCATTAGATAATTGTAAAAATATGAAACTGTACTAAAAAATCAAGCAATTTCTAATGCTCCATCAAGAATTCAATATTAATAGTAATAATTTCCATAGTATGGTTTCATTTAATAATAAATTCAACAACCAATCTAATAATCAATTCTAACACCATTCATTTAATAATCTGTTTAACAACCGTGGAATCAATCATAGCGTTATGATGAATTAGTTTAATATTATTGATTATTATACATCTATAACTATATTTTGTTTCTTCTAAATTTTTGATTAAATTTGTTACGGTTAATTTCTTAATCAACTCGCTATTTCCTAGATTAAAAACATTTTTAAGTAAATGACCAATAATATTATTTATACTTCCAATTAAAAGGTATATTAGATAAAATTATAATACAAATGTAGCATTAATAGAAGCAGTAAAATTTTAAAATCTTGAGAAAAAGCAACCAGTTTTATTTATGACAATTTTTCTATATTTTAGCTTAAATTAAGTTTTTACAAAAGTTATTCATTTTAAGAAAAAAATAAAAATTCGAAGAATATAAATTGAGCAAACCCAAGAAAATTTTTAACTCAAACTAAAACAATTTAATTTACTATTCAGTTTAAAGTTTATCAATTTCTTTTAAACTTTATATCTTTATACAATATTGTTATATAATTATAGATATTATAATTTGATTATAATTTTATTGAACTAAGTAATTATATTATTTTATAAATGAAAGTAAAATCTTTATGTATTAGATTAATATGAAACATTTATTAATATTTCTAATTTAGTGAAAAAACTAACTTATGAAAATTTAATTTAGGCTATAAAATCAAGAAAGATATACTTAAATTATAAAGATTGGAAGAGATTAGAATAAAAGGCATTTTTAGATATAAATACAATAAATATGAGTGGAAGTTAAAAAAAATTGTAAATTTGAGAAATTTAAAATAAATTGAAATCCAATTCATCTAAGTAATTTAAACTAAGTTTTTATGCACAATTGGCTGTTAACAAAAATTATATAAGATAAATTAACAACTCTAAAATATAATTGAGAGATCAGATTATAATTACTGATTTGTTTGAGCTTAGTTTTTAAATTGAGCAACTTAATAGAGACAGTCAAGGATATTATTTAATTTGAAAATATTATAGAAATAATATTTTTGCTAAATGCAATTAGAGTAAATTCGAATGATTAATCATTTAAATATAATATTCTATTCTTTTGAAACAAAAAATAAAATTGTTTTAATGAATTAGAAATAAAATTCTATAAATTATGGTTAAGGGAGATTTAAGCTAATTTAACTTTACTAAAAATTAAAAATCTATCTCTCTCTCTAAACAATAAAAAAAATGAATAAATTTTAGTTTTGTTTAAAATTTAAAATAATTTAATGTTTAAAGATGAAATATTTTAATAAGAGAAAATTAGATTAAACTATAATCAAAAGGGTCACATTTAAGTAAAGTAATTATCTAGAATTTCTTCAAAGTGACTATTGAATTTTCCCTAAACCTTGGAACATTAATGAAGGATTTTACAACATTCAGTGCTTTCTGATTTACAATGCTAGCTGATACTATTTATAAATTTTTTAGCTTATTTTTTATTTTCTGGGTCTTCAAATATACTTTTGAGTGTGGTTCTTTTATTTCCAGCAGAAGGTAAATCTGTTAGAGTAGGTTGTCTAAAGAAATCCCTTTAATGCCTTATTTAAGATTCATAAATTCTCTTTTTCTCCTCTTTCTAAGATAATAAGGCCTTTGCCTTACTCAATGGTTCTCTTAGAGTTAATTTACTTTTAAAATTCATTTCTGGTTGAATTGTATTCAATAATTCATAATATGATGGAGCTAGTTTCATATCATAATCTTGACTAATTAAACTAGAGATTGAATTAGAATTCTTATTCATTAACTAATTATGAATTGATTTTTATAGCTCTTCTATTCTAACAGTATGATTTCCAAGTTTTTTTATTTATTTTGTCTCTCTTTCAAAATCTTTTTAGATAAGAAGAAGCACTTTATCTTCAGAATCAATTTTAGCCCTTTTGGTTCTTTTTCTTTAAGTTTTAGATTTCTGTTTTACTTCTTAGTTATTAATAATCTCTCTTTCAGCATGATATTTTCCATAAATTCTTACCATTACTGGATTAATGGAAGGTTGAGTTTCTAAGTAGAATATAATAGATACTTGTCATAAAGGATTTAAAGATCATCATATTTTTAATATACCTAGGACTCATTCTTATTTCACTTAATTGACTTTTCATTAATTAATGTTTGATAAAAAAAAATTCTTAATTAGTTCAATATCGATAACATTGTTAATATTTACAGTGTTTCATAATGTTGAAAACGTAATTCAAAAAAGGAGATTCTTGTCAGAAGATGATGAGTCATTAAATGAAAAACACGAATAAGAGGAACATAAAAATGTTAGGAAAACATATTCCCCTGCTGAGATAGATTTTTGGATATGTTTGCTAATAGCTGCAAGTTTATATTATCTATAATATTAGCTTTAATCTGTATGGCTGCTGTGTGTTCAGGAATGACAGTTGGTTACTTGTCTATTGATGAATTACAATTAGAAATATACAAAGAATAAGGAACAAATGAATAATAAAGACAAGCTAATATAATATTACCAATAATCAAATAACATCATATGCTTCTATGTACATTACTTATAGGAAATGCATTTTGTATGGAATCACTTCCTATATTTTTTGATAAAGTTGTTCCTCCAGCATTTGCAGTATTAATATCAGTTATCTTTATAATTTTTGCTGGAGAAATCATACCTTAGGCATTATGTACTGGACCAAAACAATTAATTATTGCTGAAAAATTAACACCAATAGTTAAAATATTAATGATTGTATTCTGGCCAATAAGTTATCCTTTGGCTAGAATGTTAGATTCTTATTTTGGAGAGCATGGATCTACAAGATTCTAAAAAAATGAATTAAAAGCCTTGATTGAATTACATGGTATACAAAAACATGCAACTGGAGGTGGTCATTCAAATGAAGATTAAGGATTTACTTAAGCTGAAATTAATATGATTACTTCAACTATTGACTTGAGAGATAAAACTGTTGAATAAGTCATGATCCCTATTAAAGATGTATTTTCTGTTAATAAAAATAATGAACTTAATAAAGAAACATTAGCAAGAATAGCATCCTCTGGTTATTCTTATGTCACTATCTATGAAAATTAAAAAGAAAATATTATTGGAACCATTAGAGCTAAATAATTAATTGATATGGAATTAACTAAAAGAAAAATATCAGAATTAGATAATCTTGTTAGACCTGTTCTTTTTGTTTAAAATGATACCTCATTATTTGAAATGCTAATGATTTTTAAATAAAGAAAAACCAAAATTGCATTTGTAGTAGAAACTAATAAAATTGAATAAACTAATACATAAAGAAATCCTAATTTTTAAATTGTAGAAGAAAAAGTATAAAAAAAAATTATTGGATTGATTTCCTTGAAAATGTTATTTGAAGAAATTGTTAAGAAGGAATTTCATGATTAAGATAACCATATCAAGTTTAATTCAGTATTTTATTTATTATTATATCTAGTTAAAACCACCTTAAATTTAAAAAATTGGAAAATCTTAAAGTAATATAATTATGGAGCCTGAAGAAAAAAAATGAATTTCATCATATTAATATTTTAAGAATAATTATTTAATTGTTATAAATCAATATTATTCTTCAGTTTCTCATTATTATTCTACTTACTAAATACTTTTATAATTCCTCTTCATATAATAACTAATATTCCTGAAAAAATCATCTAAAATTTTTTTATTCATTTTTTTATATTATTCTTCAATTGATAAATCATACTCTAATGAATACTTAATAAAATATTTTAAAACTATTTCCATGATTTACTCTTTAGAGAAATAATTAATTTAAAATTAAACATCTTAATTAAAGCGTTCTACATTTTATTTTGATTAATTAAAGCATTCTTCAATCACTCTATTAATCGAATCAAATACTCTATTTGCTCTTTAATTTAATTTTTCTCTAAAATTATATAAGAATTCCTAATAAAATTTTTTAAAATTTCCAAATATTAAATAAGAATTTTCTAATTTATCTCCATAATAGTTTTAGAAATATTTCAAAAATAAAGTTTAAAAATAACTTTAGATTTATTACTAGATTTTCTATGTTTGACTAAGATATTTTATTTGTTCCTATTTTTCTTGAACTGTTTCCTCAATTATTTAATCTCCGAAATAAATATTTATTTATAAAATCTCATTTAAATAAATAAGCAATTCCTTTTCATAATAACATCTCTATTTATTAAATTTTTGATAATTTTCAATTTCATTGTCCCTCATAGTTTATTTTTCTTTATTTACATATCTAAATTTAGAATATATATATTTACTCTCGAATAAATGTATTAACTATTTCATTCATTTATCTACAATCATTCAATAAAATCAAATTTCTTACTGAAGATATTTGATGTATCAAACTCTAAATTCTTTAATCTTAGTACAATTCTAGAAATTGCGTGATAATTAATTTAATGGCTTTCAAATCATTAGAATAGTTTAATTCTTCATTTAAAGTTTTTTAAATACACCAATATTATATAAAATAGATTTTTTCAATTGAAATTTGTGATTAATAAGTAGTGAATTTATTTGATTAATTATTTAGTTTGATAAAAATATTGTTCAAATTTAAATAACAATGAGCTATTTTCTTCTCAATCATTTTTAATAAATGCTATAAAATAGCTTATATAATTAAAATTGCTTATCCTTTAAAGATAACAATATATTTTGATTTCTAGATAACTAAGTTTTAAATACAATAGCATCAAATAAGTCTTTCAACGAAACACATTCAGACTAAGGGATTTTATATAAAATAAATCCAAGTTCAGGTTATTAATTTCTAATTAAATATGGGTTATTTTCAAACTCATCAATATCATTTAATTGACTTTCATTACAATTTAACTTCTAACATATAATTTTGTAATTCTATTAGCCTTTCATTTTTTTTAATAAATTATTATTTAAATTATAAAAAAAAATTAGCTATTTATAAGTTTTTCATGTTTAAAACGCTTTTAGATCATTACATAAATAAATAACAAAAACTTTTGGTAAAGATTTTAATATAAACAAATAATATTTAGAATGATGCAATTAAATTTTTTTAATAACTTATTCTATAAATAATTGTTATATATTTACATAAACTTAGAATCTTTATATTAATTTCTTTTAATTATAATGCAAAATTAATAATTGAAATTCTTAGCTCAAGCAGTTATATAAGAGCAAGCTTAAAAATTATTAAAATAGGAACAAATACTAATCCAAAAAGAAAATTATTTCTAAATTAATGTTTTATAAAACTCTGATANAATAAATAAGCAATTCCTTTTCATAATAACATCTCTATTTATTAAATTTTTGATAATTTTCAATTTCATTGTCCCTCATAGTTTATTTTTCTTTATTTACATATCTAAATTTAGAATATATATATTTACTCTCGAATAAATGTATTAACTATTTCATTCATTTATCTACAATCATTCAATAAAATCAAATTTCTTACTGAAGATATTTGATGTATCAAACTCTAAATTCTTTAATCTTAGTACAATTCTAGAAATTGCGTGATAATTAATTTAATGGCTTTCAAATCATTAGAATAGTTTAATTCTTCATTTAAAGTTTTTTAAATACACCAATATTATATAAAATAGATTTTTTCAATTGAAATTTGTGATTAATAAGTAGTGAATTTATTTGATTAATTATTTAGTTTGATAAAAATATTGTTCAAATTTAAATAACAATGAGCTATTTTCTTCTCAATCATTTTTAATAAATGCTATAAAATAGCTTATATAATTAAAATTGCTTATCCTTTAAAGATAACAATATATTTTGATTTCTAGATAACTAAGTTTTAAATACAATAGCATCAAATAAGTCTTTCAACGAAACACATTCAGACTAAGGGATTTTATATAAAATAAATCCAAGTTCAGGTTATTAATTTCTAATTAAATATGGGTTATTTTCAAACTCATCAATATCATTTAATTGACTTTCATTACAATTTAACTTCTAACATATAATTTTGTAATTCTATTAGCCTTTCATTTTTTTTAATAAATTATTATTTAAATTATAAAAAAAAATTAGCTATTTATAAGTTTTTCATGTTTAAAACGCTTTTAGATCATTACATAAATAAATAACAAAAACTTTTGGTAAAGATTTTAATATAAACAAATAATATTTAGAATGATGCAATTAAATTTTTTTAATAACTTATTCTATAAATAATTGTTATATATTTACATAAACTTAGAATCTTTATATTAATTTCTTTTAATTATAATGCAAAATTAATAATTGAAATTCTTAGCTCAAGCAGTTATATAAGAGCAAGCTTAAAAATTATTAAAATAGGAACAAATACTAATCCAAAAAGAAAATTATTTCTAAATTAATGTTTTATAAAACTCTGATATTGCAAGCAAAAAATAAGAGATTGAAAAATTAGTTATAGAATATCAGCAATTACTTATTTTGAAGTACATGCAAGAGTAATTTTTATTTATAATAAAGAGCAATAAAATAAGTTTAATGCAGATTAGACTAAATTTTTTTTCATTGTTCGTTTGAAAATTATCCTGATGATTTAAAATGTTACATATCAACAATTAAGTACTTATCATCATTTATCACAAATATTCCAAGTTTTCCTAAGTTTATGGAGGAATTTAATAATTGTTTTTAAAATTAATAGTCAATCGATTTCAATAAAACAGTAGCAAAAAGAGCTTATAAAATAATGAAATTTTAAAAATTATTAGGCTACTATATGGGAATATTTAAAAAATAAAAAGGAATAGATTTAAATATATATTTTAATTTATAAATCTATAATAAGAAATAAAAAGATTATGGAAGAATAAAATTTGCTTTTAAGAAATAATTATAAAGTTTTTAGTCCAAATGTGATAGCTAATGTTCATAACCTATATCTTCAATTAATTCATATTCTATAACCCCATAACCAAAAATTGTAGGGTATTATCATGACAATGAATAATAATAAAATTTATCTTCAATAGATTAATAACAAAATTGCAGATCTATGATACCACCATTTCCTCCTTAAATGAATAACATTAATAATCCATAATAAACTTCATAACCATACAACTCATAAAATTCAAATGAACTATTATATGGATAATCAGCAATATAATTTACTGGTAATAATAACAATACTTCAAACTTTAATTATCCACCGATGCCTTAAAGTTACTATGGTTATTAGACAAAATAATATTAATATCCTCAATAATAAAATTAACAAAATTTATTTTTCTAGACTGTTCCTTGCTAATAATAAAATTATTCTTTAATACAATAATAATAAGTTTAATAATATTCTTATTAATAAAATTAGTAACAATAATATTTTAAAGATCAAATAAAATGTTAATAATATTAAAACTAAAATTCTTTTTAATAATAATTTAATCAATATTAATAACCTTAAACATAATAATAAGTGATTTAAAATATGCTTTCTTTTCAAGAAAATCCAATTTAATAACAAGTAATGACAGATTCTATATTTTAAAAATCTTAATCTGAAATTTCAGAGAATCAGAATAATAGTGTATAACAATTTTGTTTTGATGCATCTGTTTAACCAGAAAATATGTTATTAGATGACGCATCTTTTTAAGAATAAATTAATTTAAAAGAAGATGTTTCAAAATTGTAAATTCAATAATAATAATCAGAATTTGAAGGATTAGTTATTAATAAATCAAAAATTACTTAAATTCTTTTAGATCCTTTAACTAATAAATAAGTATTGTCAAAAAAGTAATTATCACAAATTGGAGATAAAAGTAATTAGCATGACACAGTATCATTAACATTATTAGATAAATTTTTAGAGAGAAAACTAGGTTAATTTGATAGAGATGATAAAAAAAAGTAAATTTTATAACTTTTTGATTTTTGATATTTTTACATAGAATCAATATTTAATAAGTAATTTTATTTCATTATTTTTAATAACACAAAATCATTTCTTAATGATTTAAGTATCACAATGCAATGGAGATAGTTGGACTAAAATTGAGGAGCTAAATGAAATTTTTGAAAAAATGATTACAGACAATAATTCAAAACATTATTAATAGAAAATTAGAATTGATATGTTTCATCATGAAATAATTAAAAATGATAAGAATCATTAAATTAGTTTTAGAGATGAAGTCGTTCCTAATATTGGTTTGATTGATATTAACATTGTAGATAATTGGAAAGATTATAATATTATTTAAGAATAAAGTGTCTGTGATAGTTGTTCATGCGTTATATCTTGATTTCGTGATTTATTGATATTTTTGTAGTTTTATATTTAAATATATACTAACCAAACAGTTTATTGATATATGATTATCATTAAGAACGAATTATTATTTTTAATAATATGAATAAATAAAAGATTAAAAATCTGAGTTCAAGGAAGTCAGAATTATTTTAAAATAATGCTTTAAAATTTATAAATACTGAATCAAATGATTAAGATCAAGTTATTCCATTTTATTTTAAAAGCAAGAAAAAATTACAATTAAAATTGCCATCTCTTTAAGTAAGTAGAATTATGATTGGTAATGAGAATACTTCTACTGAAACCTACTGCCAAAATAATAAATTTGGAAGAAGGAAACCTTTTGAATCTCAAGCTTAATCTTAGCCATTACTAAATATTCCTGATTTGTAAATTGATAGCGAATTAAAAAGAAAAATTAGATAAAAATGCTTATTAAGAAATGCTCATAGAATCACATTGTTGCATAAATAAAAATGAATTATTTTATATAGCACTTATTATATTTATTATTATAAATCACAGAATTTTAATATATGCATAGAAATTTAAGATTTTACAGGTATTCATCATATTCAACTGATTGTTCATCATTACTTAATGTAAATTTAAGCTAAGAATAAGTTAAATTACCAAATATAAAATTATAAGATAAGCCATCATTAATTGGAGCTTTGCAATATGGCTAATTATAATTAAGAGTCCTTAGAAGGAATATTGAAGAAACATAAAATAAAAAATAATAATATTTCTTTAATGAAAGAAGACAAAAAAACTATAAAAGGATATTCCCAAAAGTATAGGTTATCAAAAATAATTCAGTTGCTCTACAAACTACAGGTTTCAGTCCTTGGATATAAGAATGATTCAATACATTTTATTTTTCCTTTTTAATATAAAATATTTATAAAAAGTTAACAGATTTTGGCAGAAAATATTATAAATTATTCAGTCCATGCTAATGATATAATTTTTTTAGATTACAGAGATTACATCTTCAAGCCTAAAATTTGAACCTAATTTCCTTTGCTTTTCCATAGTGATATATCAAATCTTATCAATAAATACATAACTTACATAATTGTTTAAAAATAAATTATCAAATTCTGTTATCCAATCGTTTGATATTATTTTTGGAAAAACTTAGTGATTAAAAATTGTAAAGTAATTATATATTTTTGGAATTAATAATTCTTAATCACCATAAAGCTAATAATAATAAAATAGTTTCATTTCACCATTTATTTAAGAAATGAATGAATGACTAGTAAAATTTCAAAAATGTATGATTACACTTTTTTATAAAATAATTAAAAAATCTATTTTGTTCAATACTTATGTATTCCTTAAAATCAAAATAAGATAAAAAATATAGATGACATGAAAATATTTATCAAGTGATTTTTACAATTACAAAAAAAAGATTTTAAATATATTAATGATATCAAAAATCTTTGAAATTATGTAATTTTTTTTGGGTTTTATAAGTCGATTTTTAACTAAATTTTTTAGTATATGTTTCATGTTAAAGCTTATTTATTGTTAAAACAAATAATCAACAAATAAATTGCTAATTTTAGAAATATTATTGTTTAATACATGTTGACTTTATGATTTAACCAAAGCCTTAAAACTACTAAGTTATTTTGACCTTACAATATATTTTTAACTAAAGAATATTGAAGAATAAAAAGAGAATTTAATTCTAACGATTTAAAGTATACCTTAATCATATTTAAGGATTTTAAATTTTAACATGATGGATATAAACATCTATAATAATCAATAGAATCAAATAGACTTTATAATTAAAACATTTATTAGATTGATGAATTAATATGAATATTAACTAAAATAAAATTATTTTCATTCTTGAATTTTTTTTTAATATATTCTACTGGGTAACCAATTAAAAAGCCAATTCATTAGATTGTTTTTTTTCAAAATTTTAGATTCAGGTTAACCTTAACTAATAACAACTTATCTATATGAATCAATATATATGATTGCCAAGATTCCAAATAAAAATTGATATAGTATAAAGTAAAAGAATATCATGAAAAGCATAGAAAATGTTAGATCTGTATCATAAAATTCTCCAACATTAGAACTATTACAAAGCATTAAAATTAGTTAAGCAAAAGATCTTGTAAATACACTATAGTTAACAAAATATGGTCCTTTTTAAGATGTTAAGATAATAGCAAAGCCAGATAAAATAAGAAAAAGTAATGTAAAGCTAGATAATAATTATAAATATTAAGATTCGATGGCTTCAATTGCTTATTCTAAACTTTTAAAAATATTAAACATGAGATAAATTCTGATTAAATGAGCACAAATACACAATGAAGTCATAACAAGAATACTTTTATAACTGTCTGCAACATCACCTAAATCAATGTAACTAGTTTTTTGAACAAGATCATAAACACTAATATTTTATTTGAATAATTATAATGCTTGATCTGCCGTTGAAAAGTTAAGTATTAATGACATGGAATTCACAAGGAAAACAACTGAAATAAAATATTTAATTCCAGAGGAAAATGAATCTTTCATTTTGATAAGTTAAAAGACTGTGTAAACGATACCAACTATTATTTTGAGTACTGTTATTAAATATAGTATATATCCGACATTTTTATTATTAGGACTATTTGGAGATTCTGAATGCATTTCAGCATAGATTGAATAAGGAGAAGATGAGCCTTTTCCGAAAATATTTGGTGAGAATGGTAAAATATTAGGTTATTTTGGATAGATTCCAAGTCCAGTAACTTCAACTAGAAATTCAATAAAAATAAACATTCCATCATTTTTACTCCGAACGGTCATAGTCATGATTTAGGCAATAATAGATTCACCAAAATAAAAAGGATGTTTAAACATTCCTTCAATGACATTATGAATATAATAAATTGGAGTTAAATCATTTGATCTGATATCTTAAATATATCCACTTGAATCATAATCACTGAATTGTCCCTCTGTAATTCTATCGTATTTAGAATCTGTAAAAAGCATCCAAGGTTTTTTACCATCTCCTATTTATTCAGTGAAAAATGTTTAATCATTATAGATTTCGTAATTACAAGTAACTTAAGGAAGTTTATCAGTTCTAATGGGATTTGGACATTAAGTATATTAAGTTCTTAATTAACGAAATCGTAATGCTCCAATAATTTCGTATGATGTCTTAAAATCTGAATTATTGGAAGTAAATTGATACATCAAACCTTAAGTGTTAATGTAATAGTCTTATAATTCAGTGATAGAGGAAATAGCAAGAAATTTATTAACATTTAAAGCACTTTCTATTTTCTTTATATGTTATTGCATATATGCTCCATTATCTAAGAAGTATAAAAATAGAATATTCAAGATCATTAGTATAATAAGAATAAAGAGAATGCAAATATGATTATCATCTAATTTCTCACCTTTCAATTCTTCAAGTTAATTTTTTTCTGCACTTTTTCCTCTTTTTTTGAGTTTATCTACATTAATAACAAATTGTTTTTTCAACAAAGGAAATCTATTAAAAAAAGAGATGTATTTTCTAAATAAACCAATTTTAAGATCTTATTAATCATAATCTTATTATTCATCATATTCTTCTTCATTCTCATCTATTTGAGTTAATGGTTTATCTTCACTTACTTTAGAACCATCAAATGTTATATTTGCACTCTAATGAGGATGACTTATTTGACTCCTTTCAGGTTATACATTACTTGTATTATTTGATTATCTAGATTCAGATTATTAACCTCTCCTATGAGTTCTTACTTTTTTCTTTTTTAATGTCACACACAGATATGATATATTCTAATCTGATAATACTTTGTTATAATAACGCTCAATTAACTCTGTATTCTATATATTCTCTTAATTATCATTTACTATTTCATATCTATTACAAAACTTCTCTAACATTATTTAATCTGTGTTTCCACATTCTTATATTTATTCTGATTAAGGAGATATTAAATTTCTATTTGTTGTCTACATTGATCCTGGACTTACTAATCCATGCTATTATTTTTATATTATTTCATCTATCTATTCAGCTATCTAAGAATCTGGTTATTAATTAACTTTTGATTTAGTTTATTAATCATAACAACTACTCTATCCCATTTCATAATGCATTTCTTTCCTTACTTATTCCATATTGTAAATATTCCAATAAACTAAACATGCTTTTTTCAAATCTTAAAAACTGTTTATTTTTGAATAACGAAATGTTGCTGTTACGTAATCTATGTTGTCATCTTAAAGTCTTATCTCTTTTGATAATAATGCTTTTGGACATTTTACTTATATTGCACAAGTCAAAGGTGGAGTTTAATATTAATTATCATTTTCTGCATTATTCTATTCCGGAAATTCATCAGAAACACATTCTTCTAAATATCGAAAATATTTATCAATGTGATACCCAAATTTCTCTAATACTTACTTTGATATTTATTTTAAAAATTCTTTTATTCGATTCTTATCCAAAATCTCTTATTAAGGAGCTTCTGCTTCCATCATCTCTATTTGTTTTGAAACATATAAAGTCATATTATTTAAGTTTTTTAAACTATCTGAGAGTTCTCTCTCAAGAAACTTATTTCTTGTTTCTTTTGCATCTATTTCCTATTATAATTCATTCTTCTGGCTGTTTAGTTCCATTATTCTAGAACGAAGTTTTCTAGCTTTGCTATCCGGATCAATTTCCATTAAGTACTAATTTTAATTTGAAAATGACTACTTTTTATTATTAAATTTCGTTTTCTCAAAACTCGTTTTCTTCTTATAATTCTCCTATTTTATACCTTAAACTTTCCATCAGTTTATTACATCATATAAGCATTCTAAATTGTAATAGTTTTAATTTAATTGATCATTCTTTGACAGGATTCGTTTTCGGTTTATTTGATTCAATTAATCTTAAATGAATATTTTTATTTATTAGATATTATTTGTTTTATAGTTTGAAATTTATAGAACTATATTAAATGATAATATCATTAGATAAATAATTATATTAGATTTATGAAATTCATAGAATTTTATTATATTAAATAAAAATATAAATATAGAAATCATTATATATTTAAAACTTTATAGAAATTCATGACAATTAAATTATATAATAATATAAATACAGTGTGATCTTTATGTTATAAATTTATAGATCATAAGAATATATTAAATATTTAACTAAATAATAAACATACAGATAATCATAAGATATGATTTGGAATTAATTCAGGTAAAGTAGCTAATCTAATTCTTGATGAATATTTATGAATAAATGGTTTTATGTAAAGTTCTTTAACTGAATTTTTCTTAGTACTTCTTTCAGTAGAAAGGGCAGTCTCTTACTTATTTAATTATGTTTGAATTTAAGGTAGTTAGTATTTAAATGGTTTAATAGATTTATAAGTATTTCTAGATAAAAGATGATAAGATAATGACGAAAACTATTTATTGATTAATTTATTTTTTTCACTGTTGATGATTTCTTTTTATTTGACTAAAAATGATTCAAAAAAACTTGGTTTTTTAGTTGGAGTTCTATCTAAAATTTTTGAAGAATTAATTTGAAGAGCATCTTCTTATTTAATAACATCAAGTAATTGAGTGTTTTTTTTCTCGATTTTGATAGTATTTTATCTGATAATTGATGATTCAAATGATTCAGTAGGCATTTCTTTAGCAAAAAGATAAGGTGCCATAACATAAATTTAATGTTTGCGAATGGATCTTTAAAATTTGTGCATGGGAGATTCTCGTTCTTTTTCTATATGTTGTATTCTGAATTCATGATTCATACATTGTTTTTAAAATCTATTTAAAGGTCCACAAATTTCACATTCACAACTTCTTCTTCTCTATTTAAATTATTCTTTTGACTACTATTGTAATTGTTTTTCAAGGTCTTTTTCACTCATAATAGAGAGTTTTGGTTTTCGAAGGTATTTTTATGATCCAATAGAAGATTAAGTGTGAAGTATGGACTATTTTTTATTGTTGATTTAAGTTTCAATGTATTTAAATGGATTAAATGAGTACGGAAAAGAACGTGATCGAAGTTTAGTTTTAACATTTATGTTGATGAGTTTAACATTCTTTTGCTGATATGATAATTTAAGTTTAGAAGACTTAATTGATTATGGACTCTATTTTGTCAGAATCCTTTTAGATTACGCACTTTGCATCTATTCGATATCAAACAGTTAATGCTTTTATATAAAAATTATTGATTTCAACATTTACTACTTTTAAAGAAATGCAATAAAATAATCAATATTTTAATAAATGATTTTATTGTTGATACTCTCTTAGATCAGAGGTATTTTAATGGGATTTACAAGTTGCGAAGTAATGAATTTGTAAATTTATGATAGGTAAACCAAGATCATCCTGAAATTATTTATCCATCAAATTCAAATTCTTTTACATAATCTCTTGATAATTATTTTCATGGATAAGGTTTAACTTACTAAATTGATGGAATTTAATTTGGCGTATAAAATTCTACTACATCGAGCTAGTCAACAGCAAATTAATCATTTCCAGGTATATTTAATTTTAATGAATAATTATAGAGAATACGATCTTTATCGATGATGCTGCATAATTTAATTGGTCAAATCCCAATTATCAATAGGACCTATTTGCAGCTCTAGTAATAGAGAATAATGAATATTATGTTTATGAGACGTCATTGAAATAAAAATAACCAACTTGGAATAAATTGACTTACTCATTTTCAAGTGATATATTAATTCATTTTAGATACTCAAACTGCTATCTGTACAAATGTTGCCTATATTTTTGACTCTGACATTATTGTTTCATGTGTTACAAGAAAACAAGGATTTTAAATATTTTATTATTTCTAAAGAATTGTAATAAAAAAAATATTTACTAAATATTTGCCAGGAGTACTTATTTAGTCTCCTTATGAATATGTTTTGGGTAATTAATTAGAATTTTCTTATTTGTAAATCTTGAACAACTAAGAAAGTACTTAATTTTATTTCATTATTATTTAGAGGAATTCTATGCAATTGTTGTACATGCTAATTATTTTAACCCTGAAACTATAGTTCATATATTTAAGGTTGAATTTTAGAGATCATTTAAAAAACCAAAAATGTCAGTTCTTCATTCAAATCATCATGATAAAGCTGCTTATGGAGCATATGTGGCTGATATTGACAAAAGTATAAATTTTAATATATGGTAACAATAGTTTATTTATTGTTTTTTGATGCTTTGGTAGTACATGACTTTACTAAAAAAATACATAAGAATATTATGACAGTTGTAGATTAAGCTTAAGGTATGGGTGCATATAGAGAATTATATACAAATGGAGAATATAACTTATTCATAACTGTTGTTACTAAAAAGGGATTATTATTTTATTCAACATCTAATTTATAATCTATTTAAAAACCACAATTACCTTCTGATTTTGATACAAATAAAAAATTATCAGTAAAAGTGAGTCTATTATATTCCATAATCACTAATAGTGCCAGTTTTGTTATTTATGAAAATAGATATCTGTTGACCCAAGAGAAGATTTAATATGGATTCTTACAATATACATAATTGCCAGCATTGTTATCAATTTTTTATGGTTTTGGATCTAAGTTTGTAGTATATCAACCTAAACAAGTTACATTTTTTTAAATTTAGATACCATACTTATATTCTAAAAAGACTTTTACTTAAAATTATAATGTACTAAACCAAATTTCAATTCAAGCAACGAGTTATGATGGTAAATAATGTGTTTGTACATTCAATTATGAATTACTAAATGTTAATGAAATGTTTAATTTTGTAGCTTTAACAAAAAATTAAACATTTTCAGAACCAATTTTATTATTTAACTCTTAATCTAAATTACTGCCTTTAGGTAATTAATTTTTTGGCAGCAATTTATAATATAAAATTGAAGTTTAATAAAAATTGGAAAAAGAGTTTAATTTAACAGAAATCTTATAACCAAATACAACACTCCTCTATATAAATTAAGTTGATATATTAGTAAATAAATATGTTGTTGCATTTACTTATACTTATCAAGTTGATGAAGATACTTATATTGTTTTTACTTAATTAACTACAAACTATAACAATATTTAAATTGAAAAATGTAAGTTCTTGGCATGTCAAAAGCTTGAAGCAATTATACTTGATGATTGCTTCACTACTGTTGCTGGTATTGCTGCTTTTAAAGCAGATATAATACTTTATATTGCAGTTGCCACTTAAAAAGAAATATTTATTTTTGATTACAATTACAATAAAATGCATGAGGAATTTAAAAGAAGTAAGAAAGTAAGTAATATTGCTAAAGAAATTCCACCTTAAATTATAATTTAAAGTATTAATTTTGTTCAAGAAGCTTTAATAATATTAACTAATACTCCTAATTCAATTATTTGTTTAGATACACTTTTGATTCATTAATATACAATTGCAGGATATGGATAAAATCCTAGATAAGTATTTACAAATCCATATATTTTTAATGATACATATTTTGTAGATAATCAATTTGAATTATTAATGATTTAGAATTACAAAAATAATTTTGATATTTAAGAGGAGACCTAAAAGAGATATGTCTATTCTATATTTGTTTCCTTTAATTATCCAAATAGTTATAAATAGTAATAAATCAATATTGGCATAGTGAGATAGGGAATTTATTTAATTTAAACTTCTACTAAAAATTAAACCTTAATATAGAATGTTTATTTTTACCCTTATGAATATTTGTATTATGATACTTTATTTACTTAAACAGCATAATTCTAAATGATAAATTTGACTTCATTTAACATTAGTCTATAATAGCCATTTGTTTCTGGGATATCAAATAATGATAAATTTTATGTTATAGTCTTTAACACATAAACAACTCAATATTAATTAGTTATATTATAACCTTCGATAAGTGAATATTCATAAATTTATTCAATTTTAAATTTAGCCTAATTACCAACTAATTTAAATATCATTACTATAAATAGAGAACATAATTAAGTACATGATTCAGAATTAAATTTTAATTATGATTTATTATTTTTGACATCTAATATTTCTTAGACAATAGAACAAATCTAAGTATTCAAAGAAGCCACTTTGTTATACACACCAAATATTCAATAAAATAGAGTAGCTACTTTCGAAGTTACTGTTATTGCTTAAAATAATTTTAACGTAAATTTGCCAACAGTTGCCTCTTTTACAAGATAAATAAAGTCAACAAGATAAGAAATAGGAATAATTGAAAGAGAGAATTAGGCATTTTCTCCAATAAATACTTTAGGATGTATATTCTATTTGAATATTAATCCAGCTGATTATTTTTTTGGTTATGTAACTAATTATACTTCAATAAATAAAATAGGATACAAATATGAATTAGATTAGGAAGATATCTTTATAGATTGTTTATAAAAAGATAAAAAAGATTAAGTGATAAATAACAGTATAGTTCAACCAATTATAAGATAATAAGCTAATTTCTCTTTGGTTTACACTTCAGTAACCTCAGGAATAATAGCAGGTTAAGATACAGTTTAAACATTTATTTAATCAGGAAGAGCTATGTATATCCTATTTGAAATGGAAGCATTATATTTATATACAATTCCTGCTTTTATTGATGCAAACTGTATATTTTCATTTGTTACTTATGATCCTGGATATTTAATTACTGTATGTTCTAATATGGATGACACATATTTCTATTATTACAATGGTACAAATAATTAAAACAGAACAATGTTAGGTTTTTCAGCATACAACTTACTTAATAATTAATCATATCCAAATTTGATATCAGCTTAATTTTAACTTAATTTTTTAGCACTTTAATACAATGAATTTGTTTTAACTGTTAAAGTTAATGCCACAAATGAAACATTAGAATTATTAAATCCTAATTAATATAATTTTAATTATCCATTTAAAAGTTATTCATTATTTGTTGTTGATGCTTAAGAATTGGAAAGATAAAATTACACAAGAGATAAGAGTGCCTCTAATAAATAGAATGCAAGTTAATTTTTAGCTAAAATGGATGCAGGAATTATAGTTTTATATTAAAACTCTATTTTATAATTCTTTTATAAATAAATTTCTCAATTTGGAGCTTATTAATAAATTTTGCCAAGTATTTTTATATTTTAAATATAATTTAGATGGTATAGAAATTCTCAGTGTTAATTCCATTTCTATTGGTTGGATAACAAACACTTATTTGTCAACACCTTTTTTAATATCAACTACTTATGCTTCTTATTTATTTTAGGTAACTTTACCAATCCTTTAAAGAAGTGGTCAACCTAATATAGACCTTATATATAAACTAATCTCATTTGCTAAATATAAGACTTTGGGAATCTATTGTGGAGGTAATGCCATTGTTGGATTCTTTTATACTGATTCAAATGAAAAAGGATATCCTGAGTATGTCTTTGGTCTTTATGGTATTCCAACACTTAAAGACTTTACTTAAGATTTAACCCTTAAAGTAACATTCAACCCAGATAAAGTTTATTAACATGTTGGTTCATCTGTAGGTTTTGTGGGCATCTAAAATTTAACTAATTATACTATTAGTAATCCTATTATTACTAATAACTAAACTATTTTGTATCAAGTTAATTAAACATAATTCTAATATCTATTTGTCAGTAATCTAATTAAAATAACTGTCAATTAAGTAGAATGTATTAATACTTAAACAATTAAATATTCACTTGGTATTACTCAAATTGAATTGATTGCTTATAATAATTTTACTTCAGATTTCTCCAGAAATTCTTTCATGATTACTAACTATTATCCAGATTATACATTCTGGGATACAGAAAAAAGAAGAAGAAACTTTTGGTGGTAATTTGGTGTCGGAGCTATCATGTTTTTCATTATTATTGGAGTTCTAACATTTTTATGCGTCAATTCAAATAAAATTGTCGTATATCAAGAAAGAATCTTATAAAGTGAAATTGAATAATGAATTATATATTATAATATCAAATTATAATATAATATCTATATAAACATCTCAATATTACAAAAAAATTTTTATTTTTTTCTAAGAAAATCTTAGATCATAACTTTTCTTTTAAATAATTTAATTTGAAAAATATTTATAAAGAATGCCAGTACTATTCAAATTAAATTATAGACTTCTTAAATATTCAATTTAAGTTAAAGAAAAATAAACAACTTTAAAATTTTATTGTTGAGTTTCTAAAAAAATAAAAAATATAACTTCTATTAAAATACAATATTCAAGAAGACTTTCTATAAAATACTCTTAATTATGAGATCCAAAAAATTTTAAAAAGATTTTTACTGCTAATACCATTATACTGAAAATTTATAACTAATAACAAAATTTAAAATAAAAAATAGAAAAATTTTATATTGGAGGATAAAATGAATAAAAAGGTTAACATAATCATTAATTCAATAGAAATCTTGCTTAAAATTTTGTTAATCTTAGAAAGTTTATTTAGATGATTTAAAAAAAAAAAAATTTGTTTTATAAATTTAAATTTATGAATGATTTTTATAATATTTATTTATTACTGTAAATAATTAGATTAATCCTATCTTTGAGAAGGAGTAGAATTCTTATTTTTAAAATTAAATTAAAACTTTAGAAAAATCTATGATAAACCTATCTAATGAAATCAATTGTGCTAAACAGATAGAATAGATTAATGATTAATGATTAATGATTAATGTAGAAGAATATTCGAAATAATAAAAATTACAAACTTACTAGAATAAATTATTCAAAAAAAAAGAAGAAATATAATTGCCCATAAGTAATAAATAAAATGCTCGATTATGAATTAAAACTTAGGAGATAGAATTTTGAAATTATAATATTAATATCTTCATAATATAATCATCTATTTATAAATTTTAAATAATAATTATATAAGAATTTAACTAAATATCATGAATGGATTGGATGAGAATTTTATGAGGATGCAAATATTTGAAAATCAAGAATAATGCTTAAAATTTTGGAATTAAGTAAATAGATTAGAAAATTACAATGAGAAAATTCGTAACAAAGATTCTTAATACTATGTTTGGATTGAATTTAATTTTCTGAAATGTGTACCATTAAATATATTAATTGATGCGATTGTATAATAAATGAAATATTCTTTTAGGCTAATAAATATTTAGAAGTTTAAAACAGCTAGATCAAGAATATTTCAATAGAAATTTTAAAACATTTTAAGAAACTGAAAACATAGTCTATTTTGCATGGTAACATTTTAACAAAAAATATAATCATTGAATTATAGAAAAATTAGTTTTTCGATTAATCTAAAAATGAGATGCAAATAAAGAATATATATTTTACAAATTATAACTTTTAATAATAGACAAATGATGAATAAGATATTAAAAATATTTTTTTGATATTATGGAGATTAATTGATTCAGCTGATTCTGATGCTAATTTTATAAAAGCAGAAACTTTAGAGGAGATGACGATTGAAAATATTCTAATATCGATATAAAATTTGTAATTGATATTAAGAATATAGGTGTATTCAAGATGGAAGAACAAAAAGTACAATAAAGAAGATAGGAAGTTTTTTGAAATAATTGATTGTTGAAACTGATTACATACAAATATTGTCAATCAAATTAAAAAACATCTAACCAATTCTTAAATAAAATATCGATAGCATAATTGAGAATTTTATCAATCAAAAAAAGGAAGATAATCGTAGTAATGTTATGAATATATATAAGATTATAATCAATTGTAATAAAATTTGGATTAAGAGATATCTTAGAATGAGAATGATTTAATAAGAAATAGAATAAAATCTGAGTTAGAATAGTAGGATTAAATTATTAAAGAATAAAAGATCTTTTTAGATAAGCTTAAAAAGATATCTTTACAGAATTTTGTTGAGAGTGTTATTTAAAATAGCTTTTAAATAAGTAAAAAATAATAAAATAAATATTTTTATAGTTAAAGAAGATAGCTAATCAAGTGATTTATAATATTAATCTAAGATAGATTAATCTGTTGATATTAATTTTATAATAGATAAATGCTTTATAGATATAATAACAGCTGTAGAAATTTCGTTGATGAATTTCGATAAAATCCAAAATACCTTAAAACAAAAACAATAAGAAATTAATTAATTACATTATTAAAACTTTCAGTTTTAAATTGATTTACCAATAAAGTAAATTGCTAAATTACATTTTGATGTGTTTTTATCAATAACTTAACATAATATTATTTAAATAAAAAAAAATTATGATGTAAAAATAAATAATTAGCATAATTTAATTAAAGAGCAACTTGATGATGCATATGATGCATGGATTTCAATGAAAATATTAGAAATAATTCCAGAAAAAAATTGAACATAAAGAATGAAAAATTAAAAGTTAATTAAATAATATAAATAAAACTAACAACACTTTCATAATTTAGTAAAAATATGTTTACTTCATACAATAATATTATTCATTGAATCAATTTATTTGAATTGCTTGAGGAAATCGTTAAAACTTTAAAGAAATAAATATATTTTGAATTGATGAGAGAATTTATATTTAAAAAAACAAAAAAAATCAAATAATATTATACACCTCAAAAAATTGTCATGGCATTTCAATTTCACCAAATTCAAGCAATCTTTTTTCATATATTGCATATTATTAATCATCAACGAATAATTAGTAATTCATGTATTCTAAAAATTCTTACTCTAAAACATTCATTTCTTTCACGTTTATTCCTCCTACTTTAGCATAATACTCATTTTTGTAATAATCATCATCCTAAAACTTGATGGCTGTCACAATAGATAATAAAAGAAACCTTTAAATAAGTTTTATAAAATAGATATATACCTATGTATGCAATGGGAATTTAATATAAGATCTGTATGCTTCTCTTACAATCTATCTAAGTATATAAGAGCAATAACAAAACATTATTCACTACAATGTGTGTATTTAGCTATTCTTTGTAAGTAATTGTAGATTGTAATTGAAGGAGCTTTATTTGCATGAAAATTAGAGTTATACTCTATTTCAAGTGCATCAGTTTCTTTGATTATTTCATCTAAAATATTTGAGATTGTCAAGAGAAGATGATTTGATTGCTACATTAATTTATAAAAAAATATTAAAAGAATATCCATTTGATATTCAGGAATAAACAATCTAAAACTATTTGAATATCATTCCAATTTATTTCTTTCTCTAATTTCTGATACCAATCAAGTCTTATCTTTAGTTTTAATTATTTGATAGATGATAAACTATAGAAGAAATCAAATTAATTTGCAAATACAATAAATGATAATTATTAAATTTATTAAATAATACTATTATATGATTAATTATTTATAGTTAATTACATTAGCCTCTTATTTTTATAAATATTACACAATAAAATATCATATTAAATTTTAGAAAACCATTGAAACACATATCTTTCTTTAATAAGAGCAGATAATCTTTATCTAATTCTTAGATAGAGATTAACAGTTTAAACGCAAAAGAATTTAAAATAAAGTAATGAAAATAATTTTGTTTTTATCTAAAATTAAATTATTAAGAACATAATTTTAGATTATTTTTTTAAGAAATGAGAAAAGATAAGAATATTAAAGATTTATACATTAGATTAAAACTAATAAATAGAATGAAATTTTTTTTTTAATAAAGTATTTTTAGATAAATGAAAAAATATGTTATTATTCAGTACATATTGTAGTGAATATATTGACATGTAATATTATTTCATATTTAATTTTAAGAGAATTGTAAGCTAGAAACAATAATTAAAGTATCATTGCTTCAGAATGTAATAACCTTTATAAATAAATAGTTAATTTTTTAATGATGATGATGAGAGAAGTTATTGAATTAATAAAAATATAAGTATTAAATAATCAAATAGAATATAATATAATAAATAAATGATAAATCTTTATTGTTTTACTTAAAAATCTTGAAGTTTACAATTGTTTTGAAAAATAAAATACTACATATGTTTTATAAGCAAAATAAATTAAAAATGATTTAATAGTTGAGATTGCAGAAATTATAAATCACTTAATAAATATAGATCTTGAATAATTAGGGTAATAAGAAATTCATGGTTATTATTGTTTAAAATATTGAGATTTCCAAATAAGAATTCAAAAATTTTATCACTTATGAAGTGAGAAAAATGTTGTATGCAATAAGATTATATAATAACACAAATGAATATCAATCATATCTAAATTTATAATAATTTTATTATTGCATTAATATTGGGAGAGAGGGTATTTTAAAATGTGGTGGTTATAATTTTAAGTTAAATACTTTAGGTTTAATAAATGAACCATTTTATTATTGTTATTAATTTTAAATATGTTATTATTAAGATTAAAAAAAGGATAATTATTATTATTATTATTAAAATTAAGAATATTGATTAACTGCCTGAATCAGATCTTTTTTTGCTTCTTAATCACTTTCACTTGGTTTTAATTTACTTTTATTTGTTTTTCGAATGGAAAAATGTTTAGCTAATTATGTAGCTGATTTAAAATTTGGGGATTATTATTATTAGCATGATTATTAATACTATAAAATATTAGGTTAAGATTGAGGAGAAGCTTCTGGAATACTGATTCTTTTATAGTTATATAAGTCAACTAATTATATATCTGAGCTTTATTTTGCTGCTGATTTAATAACATAAAAAGAAGGAGGTCTTTTGGATCTTTCATTTTTATCCTATTACTTACTAATATTTTATTGGTCTTCGGAAGTAATTTCATTATCATTTCCATCTTATAGTTTATTTTCTATAGGCTATTATTATGGTAATTCAGTCATTGATTTTTATGGATTTATATTTGAAAATACCTTACTATGTACATGTTTATATAAACTCTTTCTAACAGAAGGTTTAGCAGGATCAGATGATGGTTTATTGTTAGAATCAATAGTAGAACCTTAGATTGTAATGGAATGCTATAATTATCTTTGTTAAGGTAATTTATCTCTATCAGTAGCATTGTCCTTTTTAATATTTCTACGGATATCTAAAGACAACAATAATATACTAAATTACTTGCTCCTGTCCATTCCTCATATATTTTTTATGAATGTTACAAATATTCATCATAAGATTTATCACAAGGGTAAATCTTTTCAAAATTTCCTAAATTTTATGATTCATATTATTCTCTCTCTATTTATGCTTATAATTTAAGTTATTTTTTTTCTTCATTTGAAATTTTAGGTTTTTTACCAAATACTCTTTTTTACATTTGTTCTTTTTATAATTACTAAAGATCATTTTTTACTTTTAAATTAATATTCATTAATGTAATAGTGTCTCTAATCAAATTCTTTTTTATTAAAGCATCTAAAGGAGTATCAGCCGTAAAACTAGGTGTATGATTCACTTCTAATAAATATGGTTTATATGTATTATCTATTAAAATATCAAATCCTAAAATCTCAAAACACATGTTATTTGCATAATTATCAGGTTATGTATAATTTGATTGAAGAAAAGGTTATACTGAACAAAATGTTTTTATAATTAAATCTTTTATTTTTGCCATTAATTCATCAATGTTTGTTTATTTAGATAGTAAATTAAAAACACTAGAAAGACTTCTTTTATGTCCTATATCCATTTATTTATCATCTGTATTAAATACAAAATTAGGATTATCCTTATTAATTGCATAATTAGTTAAATGCATACACATTTCTTCAGAATTCATTTAATTTGGTTATTAGTATGGTTATGTAGCGAATCTTGCTAATCCTTCTTTAAATAAATAAATTCTATAAAACTATTAAATATTAAATACCTCAATGGATCGCAACCTGCTAATAATACATACATACGAAAATCAAATTTTAAACCATCTATTAATAATGGTTTATGCAAATATCTTTATACTACACAATGTTCAGATGCAATTGATTCAATTTATTTTGTTAAAAATATTCCTTTAATATAATATTATATTCATACCTCTTCCTTAACAAGATGCTTCTGGTTTTACTATAAAATATTTTATTTTTCCTATGTTTTATCTCAGATCTGAAATATCAGAGGGGAGCATCCATGTTTTAGGATAATAATCAAACTCCTCTGGAAACTGTTTTGCCATTTTATTTAAATTTTTGCCTAAATAGTTCTTTCTAGCTATGCAGTACATTCCAGGGAAATGATTAATTCTTTAATGGCCTATTTTTAATTAAATTTATTTTACTTTACATTCTTGCTAGAGTTTCAGGTAAAACAGCATTATCAGTCCAACAAAAATCCCATACTTAAGTTTCTAAATATGGAGTATATTGCAGTTTAAACTTATTTAGAATTTTGCCTACAAATTTAACAGCAGCATATTGAGTGTCTGATACATTCATTATCAACCTTTTGTTATTGTTAACTAATTATTTTCTTTTTTTTTTTCTTTTATTTTATAAATCATCATCTTCAGAGTCTTCTTCAGAAACATCATCTGATTCTTCTTCACTATCTTCAAATTCACCATTAAAAGGTATTTCATTTTAAGCATTTTATTTTAACATATTGTATTAATTTTTATAAATAGAAAAAATTTGATATGCTGGATTTGATTAAAAAACAGCCATTTTTGATGATATATAATTATTTTGTTAATTTATAATTTATAAATAGATATGTATAATCTATTGAAATAAAGAAATCTTAAATCATGAATATTATTTAGAAATAATAGTGATAGTTTCTATAGTATTTTTATTGTATGTCTAAAATGATAGTAATTCTTCATGTTACATCTACTCTATAAGATAAATATGTTACATCATCTATAAACTGTTGGTTATTTAATAGAACTCTTGGTAAGGAGTTATCAAATCGAAGAATGAAATACTTTACCAATTAACTTATACAATCATTTAAATCTTCATAAAAGATTTGTCTATCAAATTCTAAATAGATTTATGATTCAAGTATAAATTATCTAAATAATATATTATATTCCTATTCATCTGAATGAAAGAAATCACAAATTTCTGATTATGAAATAGCCATAGTTTAATAATCTTCAAATATTTATAATTATTTAGCGATAACTAAATATATTAAGCTTAAAATCGTTAATTTTTCATTTTATTTATATTGATAATCTATCAAGCAAAGATCGAATAACTATACTAATTCTCTATATCTATAATAAGCTTCATTTGATCTTTCTTTAAACATAATGCAAGGATCCTTATAGATAATGAATTCATCCCATAATTTAGTATAATAATTTAACCAAAAAATTGGAGTATTTGGATACATCCGAAAATCTAGTGATTTTAATATAGAAACTTCCATTTATTCAATTTCTTATATTGTATATTGATCTTGTATTAAATGATGAAAATCTTTTAATGTTTTAGGATAGATTTCTTCACATTTATGAGCAATAAAGATAGCAGCTACTCCTAAAAGTTGAAATTTAGATATAGGAACATTTGGTTACTTTAATAAATATCTTTCAACATAATTAATTGATAAATAAAAGGTTTCTCTTTTAAAATGAAATGAATGAGCTACTTCTATTAGCCAATCAAATAAAATTGCCACCATATGACATTATATTTCATTTTAATTATTTAGATAATTTTTTTTATAACTATAAATTTCTTCATATTTTACTTAATCTCTCATAAATTCCGATAAAGTTTCTTATTCTTCTTCCTAATTAATTTAATGTTCTAATGAATTGTTGAATGTGAAAGAAGTGGTGTCTTTTACAATCTCTTCACATATAAGTTTATCATAATCCTATAAATTAGATTATTATATAATTTGAGAACCAAAAGGAATTTCTTCTTCTAGAATAGGGGATATGTCTTTTTCATTCTTAACCTTTTTTATTGTAGTTTGCCTTTCAAATGAAAATATTTAATACTCATATTAACATGCCGCCTATTCAGATTTGAAATTAGAACTATCATATCTAGATTTTGTCTATGAATCCTTTGAGTTTGATAACTTTTTAGATTTACTTTTCTACTTTTTAGAGTTGTTCAACATATATTTTTATGAGTATCAAGTTTTTGCACTATAATTTATTTTAATTACTATAGGATAAAAATAAAAATGTAAGAATATCAATACAGATTGAAATTGTTAAGTAAAAGAGTACTAGTATAATATATTTGAAATAATAAATTTTTAAAATTTAATATAGAATATTGTTAGATGATAGAATGTTTTACAAAATATCCTTTAAACTGATTTTAATAATCCAATAATTTTTTATAAAGTCTTAACTTAACTTAGAATGTATTATGTTTGTAAGGGATGTGATAATTGCTGTCGTAGTTGTTGTAGATGTTGTGAAGTAAATATATAATAATAACATTAAGGAATGTTGTGGAGAATGTTGCGATGCAATTTCAAATTGTTTTTCTACTCCTTTCTCATTTTGTACTTTCATTACTTTTTTTGTCTCAATAATTCCCTTTATTATAATGATAGTAGCATTGATTTAGAGTTCTGATTTTGATTGTCAAGAAAACATCAAAACCTATCTAATAATTTAAGGGATCAATAATTTGATAAACTTTTTATTCTGCTTATACATAACTTTTCATTATGGATATTATGGTAAATATAAAGTGGAAAGTTAAAAAACCTTTTGGGAATAAACAGTTGATTTAATTTTATATGATTGGTTTGTATGCATATATGTATTTGCATTAATCTTTTTCATAATATGGCTTATAATATGTTTTTCAGCAGCAGATAACGAAGTATTAAATAATATAAAATAATAAGCCAAAGCTTTCCCCTTGTAGAGTATAGAACAATGGATTTTTAATGACTGCTTTAACAATCAATCTAATATGTATGATTGTATACCTGATAGTTGGATTTTTGATTTTCATAATAACAGTCATATTATATTCATGTGATGATGGCAGTTGTACTTGTGGCAGCTGTGTAAATGATGTTAATAATCTTTTAGTTTAGATGTTGTTGTTTAATATTGACTTGTGGAATGTGTGATTTTGGCAAAAATAAAAAGAAATATTCAAAAGAGTATACTGAGAAAAGAAAAGCATAATATAATGAAGAAAGAAAGGGTTGGTTATAATCAGGAAAGAGATTATTCGGATTTCTATCTCTTGGAAGAGCAAATCCTAGAATGAATTAGATGAATACAAATATGGATCAATAATAATAATATAATTAACCACCTTAATAATAATAGAGAGTTGCTGTTCATTAGGATAGATCAGTATAAAATTATTTAAATTTAGTTCTTTGATAAATTATCTGACTGTTTCAAAAGTAATAATAATAATAATAATAATAATAATAATAATAATAATAATTATAGAAATTAATAACCATAATAGTATTAATAATAAGTCTATATATAATAATAACCTAATAATCCATAGGTTAATTATTAATCACCTAATATGTATCAATAACCATATTAATATCAATAATAACCTAATTAATTATAGTAGTAATATTAATATCCTGCTTAGTATCCACCTAATTATCAATATCCATAATAATAATAAAATGGATGGGGATAATGATTTATATATATATATATTTATTATCGTAATTATATTTATTATGAATACATCTTATTAGGAATACGATCACGAATATACCTTTAAGTTTATCTTAGTAGGGAATTCCAACTCTGGTAAAACATCTCTATTACAATATTTCATCAAATAGCATGGTAAGATATTAATCATAATTTTGATTTAAAACAATAGCAAATACAAAAATACAATAAACAGTAGGAGTTGAATTCTCATCTAAGTCTATTGATTATAAAGATAAGAAAATTAAACTATAAATATGGGATACAGCAGGATAAGAGAGATTTCGTTCAATTGCTAGAGCATATTTTAAGAATACTATAGGTGCTATTGTGGTTTATGATGTTACATGGTATATCTATGCCTTTCAAAATATTTATAGTTAGGACTCTTTTCACTCATTAGGTGATTGGATTAAAGATTCAAGAGAAAATGGAAAGAGTGATCTAGATATTATTGTTGTTGCCAATAAAATTGATTTAAAAGATTAAAGAATAGTTGATAAAGATTATGCACAAAGTCAATTATTAAATAAAGATGTTCTTTACATTGAAACCAGCGCTAAAACTGGCGAAAATGTAGATTTATGTTTTTAAACTTTAATTGATTAAATATTCACTAAAATTGACAAAGGTAATATTTAATCATTTATATTCTCAAATTAGGTTAAATTTAAAAAGACGAATTCTATCCTTAATCAAAAAATCTATTAACAAAGAACTTAACAATTAAAATTAATAATCCTGAAACCTAAAATTAAAAATGCAATTGTTGAGTTTTCTAATTTATCAATATTTATATTATAGAATATTTATTCTTTTATTATTCATTTCTAAATCTACCTATTCAATATTATTAATTTACCTATCATTTCAAAGTTGCACAAATACATATTCATTCCCATCATTCTATTAAATAAATATACAATATTTTTATAAATAGTTTTATACTAAATCCAAAGAATCATAATACATTTATTTTAATTTACTGATGAATACTTACGTTAATGAATTTTAGTATTCAAAATTCATTTTATAAACTTAAGTTATATTAGGTCATCAAAAAAAAATATTATTAATAACAATAATGAATAAATTAACCATAGAGTCGCAATAGACAAGATCAGCTTTAAAAGTCTAACAACATATATTTATAGATCAATAAGAGATTAAAACATGTAGGATTTGTCTTGAAACTGAATAAGACAATGATAAACCAATTATTCATCCTTGTAAATGTAAAGGTTCTCTTGGATAAGTTCATGAAGAGGTAAAACAATATGTTTAAATGAGTGTCTAAAAACATGGATAGTAACATAAAACAAATAATTATTCACTTAATGTGAAATTTGCAAGATTGAATATTAAATTGAATTTACTTCACGTAAAGTTTGTATTCCTGTATAAATATAATTTTATTTAGAGAGAAAAGCATGTAAATCAAATTTAGAAAATATGGTTGCATTAATATGTCTTCTTTTTATATTTCTAGGTTTTACTGCTCTTTAAGCATTTCTAGTAGTGTAAATGTATTCAAATTCTATATTTTTAGTGTTAATATTTTTGATGGTGATGACAATAACAATTAATAATCTAGTTTCTTAAATAGTCCTATAACTATGATTGGTAATTATAATCATTAAATATTTAGGCTTTGCTGTAATAGTATTTTTGTTTTTAATTCCAATATTTATGTGTCTTATCTATGTCTTAAAAAAAATGCTTTTTATAACTAAGATTAAATCTTGGCATATTTTAGAAAGAGTTCAAACACCTCCTGCAGAACCATAAGAATAAATACCTTAATAGACATTATCAAGAAATGCTTCACAATTATTATAATAGTTACCAAAACTAAATTAAACTACTTCTATTCTTATACAAGGAAATGGTTAAGATTATGAACATGTTTAATTTATTTGATCTATTTCGTATTTATGTAATAACAAATTATTATTGATACATTATAATATTATTACAAAGATTATTAATGCTTATAATAATAAAAATTTGTATTTATGACAAAAAATAATATATTAACTCATTTCTTTAACAATAACACCACACTTGATAATAATGATAATATGGCAAAACTAGAACTTGCTAATTTGATATATTGATATAATATTTAAGTTATTCTTTCAAACATTGCATCTAATTATTTTACTGAGTTAGATATTTTATAAAATGTATTAAAGAAAGCAACCAAATCATTTTTTTCTATTTATTCTCTCTCTTTTTCATAAAATAGTAAATTAACAGCTGTATTCAAACCATGAATCTAAAGCTTTCCATTGAATTTGCATTTTTTACAATGTACACAATCTAAATATGAATCAAGTAATTTTATATCATTTCTATACTATTCTAAATCCTATTCAGTTAATTTATTTAATGGATCAAACTTAGAAAGTGCCATTTAGTTATAGGAAGATTATAAATTCTACACTTTTAAGGAAGTTGATGATTATAATTCATGATTTGGTCTAATAAAATTTAATGCTTTAATTAGTATTTATTCCAAAAAATATAAATTTTTAATTCTATCTGGATAATAACCAACTCTCTATAAGAAAAAGTCAATCTTAGGACCATTTACCTAGTCATAATCAAATTACTCATCGATTGAAATAGATATTGATTAATGAATTGCCTTTATGAAGTTCATCATTTCAGCATGTATTTTAGAAGATGTGTTGTTTCCTAAATCTTCATAAATTCTAAACCAAACCATCTATCCATGTTATCCTTTATATTTTTCTCCCACATATTTTAGATTTACTGTATTTATAGAATCTTCTCCAGGAAAATTTTAAAAATTGCATGATTCTACTTCGCATTCTTCTTAATGCAAATATATAGGGCATAACAATGTATCAGTATATCTATAGATAAAAAAATCAGATTCATTCTAAATATATATAATAATTACTTATAAATCGTTTAGAATTGGAAATAGAACATTATTGATTTCTTCAATCTAATAAATGTTTTCTAAGTTATCTTGACTAAAATTTGAATTGTATACAATCTCTTTTTGGCTCTTGAAATATATAATTTATTTACTATCGAGTAATTATATGAAAGCATAAATATAGCAACTAAGTTTAATGCAAGTAGAATTTAAAGAAATCCTGTTATCATTTATTTAAAGATAAAATTAAAAAAAAATATTAAAAATTCCAAATTTAAATAAAGAAAAAAATACACGTTTCACTCAGTTATCTTGATAGTTATATTAAAATCTCTATAAATTTTTTTCTTTTTTTTTAAGGATAATTAAAATTTATTTAGTAATTTATTTTTATATGTTAGAACATTCAATAATTTATTTTAAATAATAAATCCATAATCAATATCCCTTAACTCTTACATTTCTTTAGTAATAAATTGATTATATTATATATTTCATAAGCAATTTTGCTGATTTTTATCTCTCTCTTAAAAGGGCTTTTACTCAAAAATATAATTTTAGAAACTTTTTAATTTTATTAATAGTTTCTTAGTATTCAAAGTATTTTATATTATTTTGTTCATTTTAATCAGGAGTAGAATCTTATGGATTATTTTTTTTTTATTTAACTTTAAGCTATACTTTTTTCTCTATTAATACTCACATGCTTTTTTAGTAATTTATCAGCTCTAGATTAAATTATTTAATTATTTTTATTGGTCGATACAAAATCATATTATTCGTATTAAAAAAGATGTGAGAGATGAATTATGCAAAATTAAGAAGCTGATAATTTTTTTTGTTATAAAATACATTAAATTAAATTGGAATATTTTTAGGATATACTAATAAATTATATATAATTAGAGATTAAAGTTGATATAAATATTAAATAAATAATTTAATTTAAATGAAGAAGACAAATATAATAAATTTTTATGTCCACTGCAAAATCATATATAGCTTAATAAAAAGCAAAAAAAACTGAATTCGTTTATTTTTATTTAAAAAATTCTATTTTAAAGTTTAGGCTTTAAGTGAGATTGATAAATTGAATAAGTTAATGTAAATTTTTTAGAAAGAACCTTTTTATTGTTGATGGATTTCTTGATAAAAAGTCATAAGCAGTAGTATTCTTTGAACATTATTAAAAACCAAGATTTGTGATATATTTTTAATCCAGCAAAGATGAAGTTGAATAAAATATGGGGTTGTTGGGTGCAGAGGAACAAAAAAATGTAGTTTTTAAAAATTTACCTATTTCCTTCAAAATCGCGATGGAGTATTAGATACTTAAAAAATTTTTAATTCTTTGTAATTAAATGTTGNTAGAATTTAAAGAAATCCTGTTATCATTTATTTAAAGATAAAATTAAAAAAAAATATTAAAAATTCCAAATTTAAATAAAGAAAAAAATACACGTTTCACTCAGTTATCTTGATAGTTATATTAAAATCTCTATAAATTTTTTTCTTTTTTTTTAAGGATAATTAAAATTTATTTAGTAATTTATTTTTATATGTTAGAACATTCAATAATTTATTTTAAATAATAAATCCATAATCAATATCCCTTAACTCTTACATTTCTTTAGTAATAAATTGATTATATTATATATTTCATAAGCAATTTTGCTGATTTTTATCTCTCTCTTAAAAGGGCTTTTACTCAAAAATATAATTTTAGAAACTTTTTAATTTTATTAATAGTTTCTTAGTATTCAAAGTATTTTATATTATTTTGTTCATTTTAATCAGGAGTAGAATCTTATGGATTATTTTTTTTTTATTTAACTTTAAGCTATACTTTTTTCTCTATTAATACTCACATGCTTTTTTAGTAATTTATCAGCTCTAGATTAAATTATTTAATTATTTTTATTGGTCGATACAAAATCATATTATTCGTATTAAAAAAGATGTGAGAGATGAATTATGCAAAATTAAGAAGCTGATAATTTTTTTTGTTATAAAATACATTAAATTAAATTGGAATATTTTTAGGATATACTAATAAATTATATATAATTAGAGATTAAAGTTGATATAAATATTAAATAAATAATTTAATTTAAATGAAGAAGACAAATATAATAAATTTTTATGTCCACTGCAAAATCATATATAGCTTAATAAAAAGCAAAAAAAACTGAATTCGTTTATTTTTATTTAAAAAATTCTATTTTAAAGTTTAGGCTTTAAGTGAGATTGATAAATTGAATAAGTTAATGTAAATTTTTTAGAAAGAACCTTTTTATTGTTGATGGATTTCTTGATAAAAAGTCATAAGCAGTAGTATTCTTTGAACATTATTAAAAACCAAGATTTGTGATATATTTTTAATCCAGCAAAGATGAAGTTGAATAAAATATGGGGTTGTTGGGTGCAGAGGAACAAAAAAATGTAGTTTTTAAAAATTTACCTATTTCCTTCAAAATCGCGATGGAGTATTAGATACTTAAAAAATTTTTAATTCTTTGTAATTAAATGTTGATACTGTTTAAAAAGGATTATTAAATAATTTTCAAAAATCTTCTGATTTAATTATTTAGACTATAATGAATTAATTAAAACCAAAAGTATTTGTAACATTAACATATAATAATAAGAAATTTGCTGAAGTTTATTTAAATATGCTTGAAATTGAATTAGAATATAAACAAGTCAAAAATATTTTGCAAATGTTGATTTTCCCCCTTATAAGGTCCTACTACTATATCATACTATATTAATTTTATTACATAAGATTTAAAATCAAACAATATCTCAATTCTAAATTATTGAATTCTTTCCTTCGAAACACAATGTAGAGCTGGATTCACTTTTGAAGAAAACCTAATAAAAATAGGGTTATTGATTGAATGGGAACTGAGAAATGAGTGTATTTAATATCAATTTTAGCTAATTTAGATGATGAAATATCTATTAAGCATTATAATTAATAAATATCAATATAGTAGCAAAATATAGAATGTCTTTTGTAAATGTTGAATAAATAATTGCTAAGAGTTTCAATTTTTTAGCTAATGATTATGAGATGACATGGAAAAAATAAAATTGTAAGAATCCTTGAAATTTTGCACCTCAGTAGATAATGTGAGTAGTTAAGAAATATATTAATGAATTGCCAATATCAAGTAGGTATTAATAATTATTTTAAATATTATTTTAGAGATGCTTTATTATTTTTATTATTGGGATATATTTCTACATATTAGAATACAGACGAATTGGCTATAGTAGAAAAAACATGAGGATAAATAAAAGTTCTATGAATTCTGAAATTAATGATCCTGAATAAAATATTCGAAAATTCGATATATATAATTATTAATGGATTAAGATTGATACATTCAAATATGGCTTAAATATTTATGAAAGTTAAATAACCTAATCCAGTAATTTAATTAAATATTTTAGGTATAATTTGAAGTTAATGATTNAGTATTAGATACTTAAAAAATTTTTAATTCTTTGTAATTAAATGTTGATACTGTTTAAAAAGGATTATTAAATAATTTTCAAAAATCTTCTGATTTAATTATTTAGACTATAATGAATTAATTAAAACCAAAAGTATTTGTAACATTAACATATAATAATAAGAAATTTGCTGAAGTTTATTTAAATATGCTTGAAATTGAATTAGAATATAAACAAGTCAAAAATATTTTGCAAATGTTGATTTTCCCCCTTATAAGGTCCTACTACTATATCATACTATATTAATTTTATTACATAAGATTTAAAATCAAACAATATCTCAATTCTAAATTATTGAATTCTTTCCTTCGAAACACAATGTAGAGCTGGATTCACTTTTGAAGAAAACCTAATAAAAATAGGGTTATTGATTGAATGGGAACTGAGAAATGAGTGTATTTAATATCAATTTTAGCTAATTTAGATGATGAAATATCTATTAAGCATTATAATTAATAAATATCAATATAGTAGCAAAATATAGAATGTCTTTTGTAAATGTTGAATAAATAATTGCTAAGAGTTTCAATTTTTTAGCTAATGATTATGAGATGACATGGAAAAAATAAAATTGTAAGAATCCTTGAAATTTTGCACCTCAGTAGATAATGTGAGTAGTTAAGAAATATATTAATGAATTGCCAATATCAAGTAGGTATTAATAATTATTTTAAATATTATTTTAGAGATGCTTTATTATTTTTATTATTGGGATATATTTCTACATATTAGAATACAGACGAATTGGCTATAGTAGAAAAAACATGAGGATAAATAAAAGTTCTATGAATTCTGAAATTAATGATCCTGAATAAAATATTCGAAAATTCGATATATATAATTATTAATGGATTAAGATTGATACATTCAAATATGGCTTAAATATTTATGAAAGTTAAATAACCTAATCCAGTAATTTAATTAAATATTTTAGGTATAATTTGAAGTTAATGATTATAGTTTTAAATTAATTTATAATAATTTTGATGAATTATCTATAAAACAATTCGAGATATTTCTAAATTAAAAAGATATTAGATTATCAATAATTTTGAAATATATTTTATCAAAACTCTTCAATTTTCAGTTCTGATATTTTTAGTTAAATCTTTTAGATCTAAACTATTTTATTTTGAGTGTCTTGGTGTTACACATACACTTTAATTTGTTGATTAAACCTTTTATTTTGAAATATTATTTTTGATCCATTTATAAGAATAGATTTCACTCACTGTTGGTCTTTAACTTTTATCAAGTCTCATTAAATCTCTTAATAATATTGTTGCTTCTTCACTTACATGTCTTCCAAAAGATAATTCAGTTACAAATGTAATTATTGGAAGACTATTATGTATCATTTCCTTATATTATATTAGATATTTTACATATAACAATACTCCTAAGCTCCAAATATCCACTTTTGTATCATGATAACTAAATGAAGATACTTCTGGTGGCATCTAATCTACAGTTCCACATAGAACTGGATCAGCTTTGCCATCAGTTAATTCAGTTGCCCAATTAAAATCACAAATTTTTATATTATCATCTGATGTTACTAAAATGTTTGCCAACTATTACAAAATATTTATATATAACAACTTTTAAATCTCGATGGATAATTTATCTTTTATGCATAAATTATATTGCTTACAAAATTTAATTGAAGTATTTATATGCTTTTTCTTCAGAAAATGTTCCTTATTACTTAAGTAATAAATATAAATTTCCTTTAGAACAATATTCTAAAACTATATAAAAATAGTTTTCATCCTCAAAAGATTCATACATTTTTATAATGTTTGGATGTTATAATTTAGATAGAAATAAAATTTCTTATCTCATATTGTATGCCCCATTTATTTTACCCAAGACTTTTTTGGAAATCTTCAATCACAAATATTATTACTATTTTTATAGCATAAAATTGTTATTATTTAATCTATTTACTCAATAATACAACTCCATATGCTCCCCTCCCAAGAATCTTATTATATACTATATATTGATTAGTTGGGCTTTTTACTAACAATGATTCCAATTAATTCATTATTAATATTTATTTAGAACTTATAAAAAAAATTTTAATAATTTTATATATTAAACACATAATGATTTTATATCATATAAGTCTTTCCTTAACTTCATATTCAAACATTTCTTCTAAAGTCATAGATTTAATGAATAAAAAGTCTTTTTGATTAATGAAGCTTTTTTTTAATATATTCACTAAAAGTATACTCATTATTGATTAAATTCCATCAATAGTATAAGAATTAAATTTAGAATTGATATCTTAAATAGTTAAAAATTCATTATTTTAAGACATTTAATCATTGATCTTATCAAGTTTATTTTACTATTCAACAATTTTTTGTTTAAGTTATTTATAATAAGGATCATTAATAAATTTTTCCTCTTAACCTCTAAATTAGATTGGTAATTATGGGAATAATATTTATTGCTTTAAATTAGAGGATAATATAACAATCTTTTTAATTATTAATGTGTTTATTTCATTTAAAATATTTTGATTTTAATTTGGGAAATAAAATGATATATGATAAGCAAGATTGAGTAATTGAATTTCAAGATATGTCTAATAAAAATATTTTAAAATTGAACATTCCTCTAAGTAATAAAAGAATAACTGCAAAGGCTTTATATCTTAAATATATATTAAATAATTCCTTTTAAATTAGTTCTTTCTTTAGGAAAGTAAATGTTTTAATTAAAAATTTTTGTAAAATTCACTCATGACTTATTTTTATTCAATAGTCAAATTAAGTTTTTTATGCTGGAAGATTTAAGGCAATGGAATTCTCTAAATTTAATATATCTATAACATCTATTTTAGTAATTCATATAATTCAGGATCTAAACCAGAATCATTAACATTAAAATTAAAAGTTAAATTAATATTTTTAGGATCTATACCTTGATTTTCATCATAAATATTTTTCTTAGATACTATCTTCCACATAATTGCACCAACCAACCATAAATCTGTTTCAAAAGTTGAAAATTTCAAATAAACATTTTCAGGAGCTTTAACCAACCTATCACAATATCCAAAATTTTTGTAGATTAAAATACCTTGAACAACTCTAATATCTTCCCATCTGATGCATCTTCCAATAAAACCTAATTTGTGAATCTAATATATTCCTTGAAGTAATTAAGATAGGATATCCCAATAATTAATTGACCTTTGATTTTTTAGCCATTCTTCAAGTGATTCTGCCTATTTCTCACCTACCATTATTTCAAGTTTACTATCTTTCATACCATACCAGGTTAATGTTCTAATATGGGAATTCTCACTTTTATTTTTATCATTTTTAATAATTTTTCTTTTTTCCTTATCCAAAAAATAAAATAGAGTTGAAACCTACTACTCACTTAATGGTCCAGATGTTTATAGTTTTTAATCCATTTTTGCAAAATAATTAATAAACTTTTATAATATATTATTATATTAATTATTAAATGAATTAATATTCTATAACATCAATTCCATTGTAAGAATCATATTATATATATTTTTGAGACTATATAAACTTAGAGGATTAAAATCAAGTATATTTTTAAGGTATCTTTAAAATATCTCCCTTAGATTTAACTGAAATATGTTATAAATGGTGTTTGATTGAAATAATGTTGAATTTAAAGGAATTTTTAAACAAAAAATCAAAATGACTAATAAGAATAATTATAACATTATGTTATTTATACATGTAATTAAGTTTTATAATCAATTAGTTATTAAAGAGAGATTGTATTTGTATTTGTATTTTTAATACAAATCTTATGTTTTTGAATACATTTGTCTCCACTTTCTCAGATTCTGACTCCAAGTTTTAATGATTTAGGGCAACTACTAAAATTTATATTAATTTAAAATTTGAGAGTTTCAGTTTTTAAATATAAAAATAATTAAAGGTTCTCCAAACTATCAATCATTATAATTTCAACTATGAAAGCTAAAATATAAAGTAGAGATGGCATCATTTCTATTTAATTTTTACTTTAAATTCAAATCATATATAATTTATTCAAAGAATCATTTCTATTTCTTTAAATCTAATATTAATATGTCAAACAGATATAAAAAATTTTACATAATGAATTTGAATCTAAGTATTTGTTTATAAAAATAACATAAACAAAAGTGAACAATTTAAGTATAAAATAGTATTTTTTAAAATCAATAAATTAATAATATAATGCTTTTAATTCTAAAAAATCTAAACTTTTCAATTTCATAATAGGCTCTTACCTTGATAATATTTTTGCAAGAATAAATTGCTTAATTTATTTTTCATTAATTGATTGTTCTTAATAGGTATCTATTATTATCAAACTTATTAAAAAAATATTGGATTGATTTTGTAAATCAATCCTTTATTAAATAAATCCGTTAAATTAATTTACTTCAATTATTTTCCTCATTTATTCTAAATTTGTTTAGCATTTTAATATTCAATTTCTCTAAAATTTTCTCCAACTTTATAATATATATTTATCTTATTTTTTCACTTTCATAGAATTAAATTATAAATATTTATATTTTCTTTTAAAATTAATCAATATTAAGTATGTTATTCATCTTTACTAAATAAATAATAAAATTAATAAAATAAAATTTAAGAGCGTAATGAATAATCAAGTCACAATCGCTTACATCGATATTGGTTGCACAGCCTTATCAATGGTGGCTTGCTTGTTAATTTGTATATTAGGGATTGTTTCCCCAATCTATAGAAAATATCCCTCAAAGTTTTATTTTATAAATAATAATAGAATCATTGTATGGATCTCTTACTTATTTATCTTCCTAGGCATATTTATTTATATCGATTAAGCTATAGTTATTATCAATCATAATCATTAAAATGAATATAAAGAATTGCATAAATTAACCGACTTCTTTTTAGGTGTTACAATAATTATAATCTCAAATTAGTTTATCCTATTTTTAAATGAAGTAAAAATATGTATTTACAACCCATTTTAAGCAACTTCTTCATCTGTATTTCTATTTTTATTATTTTTGCAAACCTTATTAACTTTGGTATTGATTATTATACCACTTGTATTTTATAAGTAAAATTGTTATTTTTAAAACATAGTTATATCACTTAATATAGCTAATTGGCTTCGTACATAAATTTTGGTAGTTTTTTGATTTGCCTGATATTTTATTTTGCCATTTTGTCTCTTTTATACAGAAATAAGACTTTATAAAGTAGAAGACTTTTTGAATTCAAGCGTGATTTTGTTAGACAATAAGCATATTGGTTGTTTACTATGTTGTTGATTAATTTTGCTTTTTCGTTTTATAATCTTAATGCAAATGAAAATGATGACTCTAACATTTTTAAAATAGCACTAAGTTTGGAAGGTTTATTCTATTCTATTTTCCATCTAATTTAACCTTACTCATATCATAAACTTTTATCTTTGCTTTTTAGATCTTGTCAAAATTAATCTGATATCTAAGCCATTGAAAATATTGAATATGGAATAAATGAAGATAATTAAAATTAAATGATGCCAATTTATGAAAAATTGTTAAAGACATAAATTAATGAACTTGTTAAAGGATTAGTTAAAGCTGTATTGGCAACTCTTAATATGTAATTCGAACATCACATGAAAGAATTTGAAAAGAAAAGAACTTATACATTTAAATTTCATTTATCTGAATTAGATGAAAGTAGAATTGAATTTACTGAAACTGATGACATCAGAGATTCTATTATTTTAGTTAATACATATCATCCTAATAGTTTTACTACTCTATTGAAATCCAATCATTTTACAAAGAATTTATTGGAATACACATTAGAATTGTAATATAATTAGAAAGCCTTTGAAAAAACTAAGGAATCAATGGGAAGAAGTGGAGCATTTTTTTTTTTTAGTTAAAATAATAAACTTATTATCAAAACTATAGAAAAATCTGAAATTAAAGATTTTTTAGATGGACGTATTGTTTCATATTTCAATTATATTAATTCTCATCAAAAATCACTTATTGCTAAAATTTATGGAATCTTTAAAATTAAGTTGATGGCTTATAAAACACAATACCTGGTTTTAATGGAAAATACATTTGAATAATTGAAGCAATTAGATTATGAATTTGTAGTTTATGATTTAAAAGGTTCTACAGTTAATAGAACATCACAATCTAATGAAAGTGTTTAAAAAGATAATAATTTTAAATAATCATCTCATAATCCTATTTATTTACCAAAAGAGATTTCACAATAAATCAAAATATAACTTTAGGATGATTGTACTTTCTTAAGAAATATTGGGTATATGGATTATTCATTATTATTGGGAATTTGTACAGAAAATGTATAATAAAAAGAAACTTAAAATTATAGACTTGTAATTAATGAAGAAAAAAATAAATTATTTTCATTTTCAATTATTGATTATTTATAAAGATTTAACTAATAAAAAAAAAGTGAATAATGTTTCAAAAGAAGTCTGAAATTTAAAAAAAAGAAAGATTTGTCTTGCAGAAGTCCAGAACCTTATTGCGATAGATTTATAAACTTTATAAATTCAATTATTGTTTGATGCTTATTCATACTTAAAAATAATATAATTTATTTGAAATTTTAAAGAAAAAAACCAAATATTATTAATATATTCTAAATTTATATACTTTTTAATACGATTCTTTTATATGACATAGCTTTTAAATATATTTTTAATAGTACATGAATAATGATATCCAGTTAGTTTATTGATATTTTAATGCTATATAAACTTTTAAATTTTATCAATAAAAAAAAGTAAAAAAGTTATTAATAATAATAATTGTTTAACCCTAACCTGAATGTCAAAGACAATTTTTAATTCACAAAAAAAAAAATATTTGCTAACATCCTTGTTAGAACCAGAATCAGCTGATGTAAAATCTGATTTAATAAATTTACTTTAGATTCTCAATAAACCTAGAAGTCATTCACATAACATATTTAATAGTAATGAATATTAATTAATTATAGAATTAACTCCAAATTAAGAACTTCCATAGGGTATGTAATGAATAACTTTTACTAGGACCTATATTTGATAAGCATGGAATTATTGAGAGATCAATAGTTGGGAAACCAGATCTATTTTATAAAGTAAAAGAATAACAGAAGGTAGGTATTAAATTTGTTAATCAAACAAACATAAATAATACTGCTATGAAATTTGTAAGAAGAATCAGTTCACGAAAATCAACTAATTTATCAAATAAATAATAGTAGTAATAACAATAACAATAACAATCTGAACATACATAAAGGATTGAATAAACAAAACGAAACAAAGATTTTGATATCGTTTCGAAATAAGATTTAATTAAAATCTGCCGTTTAATAGAAGTAAATGAGTACTTATTATTAGAGTAGGATCTATTAAAACAAGGAATCAGATGATCAATTAAATACTAAATAATCATAATTCAGAGTTTAAGAGTTAAAATTAAATTAGCAAAATAAAGTATTAAATAAATACGAATGTTAACTTAAACTTTGGAATGATGAGATATCTAAATCTGTCAATACAACTAATCGAAATTCTAATGAATCTATTATCAATAGTTGTTCATGTATAAATTATATATAATTATTATAGAATTCAGGAGAAAGATTGAATAAATTTAATTATAAGAAGCATTAAAGCAAACTTAAGGAGAAAAAACAATTAATTAATGGTATATGTCATTAAGACAGAATGTAAATAAAGAAGAAACAGTTTAAGAAAACGATCAGCATTAACCGGTTTTTTAAGATGTAAATAACAAAAATACTTTATATGTTGATCCTAAATATAAATAACTTGAAATAATTAGGTAACCCAGCTTTTATATGAGTTAATAAAATTCAATAAATAGAGATTAAAGAGTTAAGTTCAATTGTACTAATTTATCATTTTATTAATAATAATTACCATATTTTTAATTAAGTGGAGTTAATGAGGAGAATATAGAAGAATTGATAATTGAAGGTTTGAATAAGTATAAGATGGAAAAAGAATATATGTTAGATTAGGCAGAGAATTAGAAATTTAGATTATATAAATAAGTGGAGGAATAATTTGTTGATGAAATGATTGATGAATGATTATCATTTTTATTTGTTAAAGAATACAATAACAATAGTAATATCATCTATTACCGTATCATTTAATTTCCATAATTTGATGGATTCTTTTACGATTCTAACACATGCAGCATTACCTTCATCTTGAATATAATATGGATATATCATATCTATAACCTTTTTTAAGAATAAAATATACTTGTTCATTGCTTAAGAATTCCCAAACTCCATCTGACGCTAAAACCATAAATAAATCACCATCTTATATTTTATGTGTAAGAATTTCTAAATTAAACATAAATATAAAACCTGGTTCGCATATAACACCACAACTTGCTGCAACCTTATCACCAAAACTTCTACTCATAGCTAATCCAGGAATATCTTCTCCTTTTAACCAAACTCTAGAAGGTCCTAAACTAGATCCATCGAAATCTATATAAGGTTCCACTCTTCCACCATTCTATTCAATTCTTCTTCTTTCTTAAGGTAAATCTGGTTTATGATCATTTGATAATGATATAGCAACTTTATTTCCATTACTTTATTATCTACAGATTATAGATCTAGAATCTCCAACATTTGCAGTATAAATTGTATCATCAACAATTAAACTTATTACTGTTGTGGAACCACTAAAAGTTGTTATTATTTCTTCGAAATTGCATAATTAATAGTTTGTTCTTATAAATGATTTTGAGATTGTTTCACTAATAGATGAAGAATTCTGAGACAATAGAGAATTAATATTTTTTGGTAAATTATCTTTAACGTATTAACTGCATTTATGTCCATCTTAACCATGTCCATCACAAACACCAAATAAGGACATATTATCTTTAAATTATTAAAGAGATATGTAACTATCTTAGTTTATTTTTGTTAAGTTATCTTCATTTTTTCCTGCCTATGATTTAGTATAAGCATTTTTTATAATATTTTATTTTATTTATTCTCTTTTAAATAAATCTAATTGATTCATGTCAGGTTGTAACTATTTTATCTATTATCTTGCTTTTATTGGTGATATTCTTGGTAAATCATATTTTAAACCTTTATCACTCTATTGTTTTCTATGCAATGCAGGACTCTATTCTGCTTTCTATTACTATGACTAATATTATTATGCTTATTATGCTTATTGTATCAAAAATAATTTTTAAGAATCTTGCAATTTTGTACTAGACATATTCCCTTATTAATTATATTTCGATCTTGGACGAGTCTTATACTTAAAAATTTATATACAAGTAATTATCCATTCAGAAATACGCTATTTTATTTTGTTGGAGATATTTATGATTTCTTATCAGGAGATATGCTTATACTTTATTTAAAGCTTTATGACCTGGTCTATAATTACAAGCTATTATTATTGTCTTTTAAAAATGTTAGTTTATGCTAACGGAGACTTGTTGTTCGATTTGCTTTATTCATTATATTATATAATTGTATAAACAAAAATTAATTAGAATCATTAGATTATAATAAACTTTTCATTTCCTAATTTTGAAATGTCTATATAATCTTTTATTCCGTATCAAAAGAACAGTATCAATTATTATAAATCTATATATTAAATCTTCTTAAAACAAGTTTCATAATAAAAAAGAATTCATTCAATTTATTCAAAATTATAAATACAAGAATGCTAATCCATTAACAAAATTTTTAGATTAATTTATTTTTATTTATTATTTATATTAATTATTAGTAAAAGAATAAAAGAATGATTTCATAACTCCTAGATGAAATGACAGTAGCTTCAGAGAAATAAAAAAAGGAAATGAATAAAATTAATTACAAATATTAAAGAAGAACAAGAGATGTAATTAATGCAGAAAAATAAGAAAAATTAGAAAATAAAGAAATAGATGTTGGATTACCTAAAATTAAGGACAAGGAAGAAGTTTATTAAGAATTAAAAAGAAGATTTAGAATGGCATGGAAAAGTATTTTTTTACTTAATAGTAGGTCCTGGATTCAAAAATGATGAATTCACAAAAATACCAACATTAAAGGGCAAAATTTTGAATGAATGGGAAATTTTAAGAATTAATTTAGCAGAGAGAAGTTATAAAGCACCTTAAGGTTATTATCTTTTTTCTATTGTTTTTAGGTTTCAAAGGATTCAAAATACCTAGTTAATATTAAGAGTTTTAAAAACCAAAGACACCACCTGGAATAAAAAAACAATTAGATGAATTTAGATTGGATTTTGAAGATTTTGTTCAAAGGCCAAGCAAATATGGAAAAGTACATGAAGATGAAATGTTAGAAAAAGTGAGAATAAACAATAAAGAACCATTTAGATTAACAAATAGTGTCTAGCATAATGAATTTGCTTTTGATCCACATCTTACATGGGAAGCAGAAATGAAAAGAAAATAATCTATAAGTAAATCAAAACTAAATAAATCAAAATTAAATAAATGATTATATAAATAATATTTAATCTACATTTATTATAGTTATGATATTTTATTAAAATATTCACTTAAATATGCTTTTTACTTGATTTATAATTTGTGAACATAAAACAAATATAATATTAAATATTGATATGAATTAATAAATTAATTAAAAAATTATACTTCTTAATCTATTTATAACATGTATCAATATCTTTCTCCTTGATTGAGATGATTTACAAAAACATAAATTTCATTCTAAGTTTATAAAGATTATAACTCATTAATGTTATATGATAAAATGAATGATTTAGTAACAAAACGTAAAAATTTGTGAATTTCTTCTTTATAATGTAAAGTATAGTAATTGAGAAAAAAGACGAATAATAATTTTTTAATGATTTTCTAAGATTAAAATGGAATAAAATAATAATATAATAAATATGGGAAATTGTTCGAGTGATGAACTAAGTATTTCTGAATTGGAATTGTATAGTAAATAATTAAATTATGTTAAAGCACCTTAATTATCATAATATAAATTACTTTACGTAATAGGAATGGGAGGTTATGGAAGAGTGTGGAAAGTGAAATGTTAAAAAAAGTTTTTTGCATTAAAGGAAATGATAAAATCTTAGTAGATTTCTTAGCTATATAGAGTTTAGAATAATTGCAAAATAATCTATTTAGAGTGTGATGAATGAGAGAATTCTGCTTTAAAAATTAAATCATCCGTATAATATTATTCGAAACAGATTTTTAGTAAATATGAGAGGTGCATTTTAAACATTGACACATTTATACATAGTTTTAGACTATATGGAAGGAGGAGATTTAAGATATCATTTATGTAAGTAAGGGAAATTTACAGAAGAATAAACAAGTAGCAATTCTATTTGATATGAAAGAGTTTTTTGTAATCTGTATATTGATGGCATTGTAATATTTACATAAAAATTTGATACTTCATAGAGATCTTAAACCTGAGAATTTGGTGTTTGATGATGAAGGTTATTTACATATAACAGATTTGGGAATAGCAAGAATATGGAAACCAAATAATAAAAATGAGACAAGTGGAACTCCAGGATATATGGCACCAGAAGTAATGATGAAATCTGATCATGGTGTTGCTTGTGATTATTTTGCATTAGGTTGTTTAGTTTATGAATGTTTAACTGGAAAAGTATTTATACTATAATAAAGAGTAGAGACCATATTAAGGAAAGAATAGAAAATAGATTCGAGAATTGATACTTAGTAAAAAGGTTAAATTAAATAAACAAGGTTTATCAAAAGAAGTTTCTGATTTTGTGAATAGATTATTAGAAAGAAAACCAGCTTAAAGATTAGGAAATGAAGGACCAGATGAAGTTATGAATCATCCATGGTTAAAAAATGTTGATTGGAGCAAACATTATGATAAATTAATTGAAGCACCTTATAAAATTATAGGAAAGGATAATTTTGATTCCAAGTTTGTGAATCAAGTTTTGACTATTAGTGAATATAAGGAAGAAAGAGATCGGAATAATCTATTTCAAGGATTCACCTATTTTGAAAATAATGATGAATAACAATAGGTTACTGATATAGGCACTAATAAATAGAAGCAATTATTATCTACTAAATATTATTGAATTATTATGTTTTGTATTTAATATTAGAATATTATTATTAATAAATATATTAATATATTATTAATGAATATTTAACAACTATAAAGTCATATACCTTAAATCTCATAGCATTCTTAAGCATCTTAATAAATGAATTCACCAGCTTAATATAATCTCGATTCAATTCCTGGAGATTGGGTATTGGCAATCATTCATTAATCTGCTCACAAAGTAGGCATTGCTGGAAAATAAATATGTTAATGTTGTGGATATCACGTTTGCGAATTCTAATTAAAACTATCTGTTGACAAAGAAGATTTATCATTTTTAGGATCAGGATATCCCCTCTATTTTACTTTCATTAAAAATTGCATATTTTTACTATGTCTTCATTTAATGGCGGCTGGTCAATTTAATATTATTAGTAACTATTAAGGTCAAGACTGTAGACCAAAAAAGAAATTGTAAGATCCAGAAGATAAAGTATGTTTACGAGATATTGTGACAATTTTTTCATTAGCTAATAGAAAGAATGATTAAGAATTATTAGCACTAGAGGATATCTTAACTTTGTCTTCAACTTTCCTAATGATGGTCTTTCTTATTTATTTTAGAAAGAATCAAAAAAAATTAGATGTATTTTGTGATTTATAAGAATTGACTCCAAGTGATTATACCGTCATGGCTTATAATATAGATCAATCAGATAAATTAAAATAATATTTTGAAATAGATTTATTTAAATTGTCAAGAAAAATGAAGGTGAAAAAGATTAATTTAGCATATGATTTGTCAAAAATAAATGAATTGAAAGAATAAAAAAATAATATATTAAATAAGAAAAAACAATGTTTTTTAAATTAAGAGTAATTCAATGAAGAAGAATTGGAAGATGTAAACAATAAGTTAGAAGAGCAGAAAAAGAAATGTAATTTTACTGGTTTGGCATTTGTGTCATTCAAATATGAAAGAATGAAATCAGAAGTTATTCAAATAGCAAAAAGTGTATTATTAATCCATGATTTTAGAATAATATGCAGCACCTATAATCAATACATTTACTGGTCTAAACTTTAATGAAGGTCGATCACTTGATTATTATGGACATCCAATATATGTTGAAGTTGCTCCAGAACCAACAGATATTAATTGGAATGTTATCTATATTTGGGCCAATCATAGTATTTATAGAAGAATTTTTGGAGCTGTTATAAATATAATTGTTAATTTTATATTATCAGTAGTCGTTTATTTGTCAATTCTCAAATAAGTAAAAGTTTTAGGTGAATTATCAAAAAACTATAATGATAATGATACATTTAATGGACATTATATCAAAGTTCATCTTTATTCCTTAGGATATTCAATGATAACAGTCTTTATCAATTCATTTTTGTTGTAAGAATTAACAAGAGCAATTGTAAGCTTTCAAGCCTACCCTACGTTTAGTTAAGTAAGTCTTGCTATTGCTTCTAAATTATCTTTTATGATGTTTTTAAATTCAGTGTTTATGCAATGTTTAATTGCTTTAGAATCTGGAAATGTTTATTATGCTGGTGGACTTGCTTATAACATGACTTATTTCTTTATTTCAAATGCATTCATTCCTCCAATAATTTAAATGTTAGATATTTCATCATTGGTAAAATCAATAAAATAATATTATTACAAAAAATATGGAATTCTTACTTAACAAGAATTAAATGAGTATATCATATTTTATTATTAAAGACTCCTAGAATTTCCTGAACATAAAATTGAAGAAAGTTATGCAGAAGTTCTTAAAACCATGAATGTTACATTTTTTGTTGGCCCACTCGTTCCATTAGGATACATTTTCAGTATTATTGGTTTGATACTATTTTATTGGGCTGAAAAATACTAATTACTAAGAAAAAAAACAGTTAAACATACTCCTTCCTTCTAGTTATCTTCAAAAATGACGGATTCATTATAACTAATTCCAATTATTCATATTTTATCTACTTCAGCCTTTAAGTATTTCATTTAAAAGAATTTATCTCTAATTTCTATAATTGGTCTCATAATTTCATTGATATATCATTTTATTCCTAATAATAAATTAGTTGCTTTGATTTGGGATTTTGGAGAACATGATGAATATGAAAAATATTGTGATTCTATCTTTCCTTTTAATTATGATAGAGAGAATCCTATTACTTAATAGAAAGCTTTGAGGAGATGGCTAAAAAGATAGTAAAGATATGAGTAAAGAAAAGAAAAGAGAATAAAATCTGGAGATGATTATGCTACTTTAAAATAAAAAGAAAAAGAAATTAAGTTATAACTTGAATTATTTTAATGAATTTACCTTTAAAATATTAAAAATAAGAATATTGGAATTTTTTTTTAACATATAGTTATTTGTACAAATAAAAATATATATTCTCAAGAATTTATAAAAAATTTCATCGAAATCCAATTTATATAAACGATGAAGAATGTTGTAACTGACATTAGTGGTATTGCAAATCCTATCATAGAATTTTACACTATTGAAATAGCCAATACAATTAACATCAAAATTACAGCTATTATTAACATCCAGCCAATCACTTCATTTATTTTTTAATTTGATAACGATACCTTTTCAAATCTTGATTCATATAGATTGATTGATCCTTTAGGATATTCTTTTCTTTCTAATAAGTATTGTTATTATTTTTTTTCTTCTTCCTTCTACAATATTAATTAAAATTGATTCAAGTTTATCTAAACATTAAGGGTAGTCATGATGATTAAAATTTTTTATTTTAATTTAAGTATTAAAGTTATTTATTAATCAATTTATAAAGAAACTAAACAATATGAATTATTTTTAAAATGAGTCAACAGAGAATGTATTATATGTGTATATATAATAAATTATAATTATGATCATAATAATCTTTTATCCCTTAATACTAATAATCTATTTCTAGTTTAATCATCAAGTAATTATAAATATTATTCTGGGTATAATTATCTATAAAACTCAACACTTTTGATTATATTTTCATCCTCATAATAAAAGCTTTTTGATAACATAAACTTAATTTCTTCTTGCATGTTATATTTCGTTTTCTTTAAACAATTCATTATAAATGTAGTAATCAACGCATTATATGATTTGTTTTATTCTTAAAATAAAAAGTTCAAGACATCCTTAGTATGCTCATATTCACTAACCTATTCTTAAAACAATTTTAATAATTCATATTTATTGTTTTTTAACTATTGATGATCTTTTTATAAAAACAATTTTAATAAAAAAACTGCTAAAAATTTACTTTCATCCTTAATTATATATTGATACAAATCAAAATTAGATCTTCTCAATATCATTAAACTCAATTTCTCTGTTGGCACCTTTTAAATACATTTAATCATAAAATCTAGATTCAATTGATCAAATGTTTATTAAAGAATCCTATTGATTATATTTGCATCTCCCTCTATTTATTAAATAAAATAACGATAAAGATAAACTCTAAACATATCCTCAGCGAATTCTTTTGATTTTGGATATTCTAGAGCAAAATCTACAAATAAATCTAAAAACTTTTAATGCAATGCATCAGGATTATTAACACTTAATCCAATAAATTCAATTATCTGTTTCACATTTACATTACTATTATTTCTTATTTTTAACAAGTTTGTATATATTGCATCAAGATGTTAGGGATAATTTTATTAACAGTCTTGTAATAACTTGGCTAAAATTTTACAATGATGATTATGATTTTATTAACAAATTCCAATGTAAAACATGAAAGTTAATTAATGTTAACAATCATTCATTTAAGATAATTAATTTATTTTCTATTAAGTTTCTTCAAAAATAAAATCTTTAATTTCTGGCTTTTATTTATTAAAAATTAATGGACCAGCTTATTTAACAAATTCTAAAATTGTTGAATGATTAATTTTTAATAATAATCTAAAGCTTTCAAATTACAATGGATGATCTTCATTTAAAAACTTAAATACTAAATCTCTTAATTATGTGAAGTATATTGAGTACATTTTCTCATTTTACTTTAGAAGTGCTTATTCTGTAAATTCCTTAACTAAATCTACTAAAGCAACTCTAAATTATGGAACAGAGTTTATTAATTTCTCAGTTATATTCTAAGTACTTTAGTTAGACATCAAGAACGAAATTTTTTATTTTATCAACATACAAAATGTATCTAGATAATAATCATATCTTTTTTGATAATTCTATTCAATTTCTTTATAAAGAATACTCAAAAAGATATCTATTATTTATTAAATATCACAATTTGGTTCTTAAAATTAAATATTGAGACTTTATACAATCAATTGTCTATCTATTTATTGAATTTCGTCGGCTTAAATTTAGTTTAACTTTTAATCATAGTATTGTTTCAAAAATTATTTAATTTCATTCAAAGAATTAAATTTCATATTTTGATCTCTATGAGATAATACTTAGATTTCATTTTCTTTTAAATTTCTTTCTTCTTGTTTAAAATCAAAAGAATTGAAATTTTAGATTGCATCAATAGGATCATAAACTTGATATATTTTAACTTTTTTTAATTTTATTTCCTCTGGCTATTTCTCCTCTATTTGTTATTTTTAACTTTCCATTTCTTAAGATGTTAAGTAAAAATAAAGATTAGCCCTTTCTGCTTCACTCAAAGAAAATTCACTTGGAATTACAGGGATTTAGAATTCTTTCAAATACTTGATAATTTCCTTTACTTTTTATTTCATAATTATTTATAATTATTAATTANTATCTGTTTCACATTTACATTACTATTATTTCTTATTTTTAACAAGTTTGTATATATTGCATCAAGATGTTAGGGATAATTTTATTAACAGTCTTGTAATAACTTGGCTAAAATTTTACAATGATGATTATGATTTTATTAACAAATTCCAATGTAAAACATGAAAGTTAATTAATGTTAACAATCATTCATTTAAGATAATTAATTTATTTTCTATTAAGTTTCTTCAAAAATAAAATCTTTAATTTCTGGCTTTTATTTATTAAAAATTAATGGACCAGCTTATTTAACAAATTCTAAAATTGTTGAATGATTAATTTTTAATAATAATCTAAAGCTTTCAAATTACAATGGATGATCTTCATTTAAAAACTTAAATACTAAATCTCTTAATTATGTGAAGTATATTGAGTACATTTTCTCATTTTACTTTAGAAGTGCTTATTCTGTAAATTCCTTAACTAAATCTACTAAAGCAACTCTAAATTATGGAACAGAGTTTATTAATTTCTCAGTTATATTCTAAGTACTTTAGTTAGACATCAAGAACGAAATTTTTTATTTTATCAACATACAAAATGTATCTAGATAATAATCATATCTTTTTTGATAATTCTATTCAATTTCTTTATAAAGAATACTCAAAAAGATATCTATTATTTATTAAATATCACAATTTGGTTCTTAAAATTAAATATTGAGACTTTATACAATCAATTGTCTATCTATTTATTGAATTTCGTCGGCTTAAATTTAGTTTAACTTTTAATCATAGTATTGTTTCAAAAATTATTTAATTTCATTCAAAGAATTAAATTTCATATTTTGATCTCTATGAGATAATACTTAGATTTCATTTTCTTTTAAATTTCTTTCTTCTTGTTTAAAATCAAAAGAATTGAAATTTTAGATTGCATCAATAGGATCATAAACTTGATATATTTTAACTTTTTTTAATTTTATTTCCTCTGGCTATTTCTCCTCTATTTGTTATTTTTAACTTTCCATTTCTTAAGATGTTAAGTAAAAATAAAGATTAGCCCTTTCTGCTTCACTCAAAGAAAATTCACTTGGAATTACAGGGATTTAGAATTCTTTCAAATACTTGATAATTTCCTTTACTTTTTATTTCATAATTATTTATAATTATTAATTATAAATCAATCTCTTTTTTTCTTACTTATAATTTTTTTCTAAAACTATTATAATTCCTATGATCCAATCTTTTTAAATCATCTTTACTCATAATCTTTTCAGCCTCCTTTTCATTCTCTACTCCAACTAGTAATCTTTCATAGTTTGATCATCTTAATTTGAAACTGTACTTTCTTGATCATTTTTTTTCTAATCAATATTGTAATTATGATTATCATAATATTAACATAAATCAACTAATTCGTAAGCTCTTTATTCAATTAATTACATCAAAGTAATTTCTTAATTAGGATCATATTTTATTTATAGTTTATTAGCTATTTCCAATAACTCTCTCTCATATTCTTTAATTTCATTCTCGGCCTATTAAATTTCTTTATCTAATTTCTCGCTTCTTTCTAATTATTGAGCAAATTAAAATTTTTCATCTTCAAATTCACCATCCTCCTTCTATTAATTTTTAGTATATTATGAAATTTATTTTTATAATTCTTCAATTCATTTTTCTTCAGAATCAATTTAATCACTTAAAATATTTGCTCTCTTGAATAATTCATTATTTGTATCTTCAATTGTTCTAAAAGTATGAATTATTTCTTCTATCAAATTTAATCCAGTTCCTTTTTTTAATTTCTCAAACATTAATTCATAATTTGTAACATCCTTAACATCCTTCTACATTTACATCTACTATTTAGGCTATTATGATTCTTTTATTTATGAAGATTTACTCTCTTACTTTATTTGTTATTGTTATTATTATT